TCTCGCCGCCTTTCTTCGGTACGAACAGTACCGGGCTCGAACAGGGCGACTTCGACGGCCTGATGAACCCCTTCTCCAAATTCTCTTTCAACCACTTCTTTAGCTCCTCGCTTTCCCGCTGGGAGTGGTTGTAGAGCTTCTGGTACGTCGGCGACGTACCGGGCTTGAGTTCGATCGCATGGTCGATCGATCGCGTCGGGGGCAGTGTATCTGCCTTCGTCTTGGAGAACGCTCCAAGATGTTCATGATACTTCTCCGGTACCATGTCCCTCAGCTTCTCCATATACTCAGGAGGATCCAGATCGTCCTGGAACGAGTCCGTGGGTTTGACGTCCCAATCCCACAGGTCCGGGCGCCTCGCCCGCTCGTCGTCCTCCCGGGTCATTTGCATCTGCGCGACGACCAAATCCTCCGTGATTGACCCCTTCATTTTCTTGAACGGGTCGATCCCTCGTGTCTCCACTTCTACTTCGTCCGGAGCATACACCGTCTCGGGCCTCTTGAGGCATCCCGTGCTGATGCAGACATCCCCGAACGTCACCGCGTTGGAGTCCCATTGGATATGCGGATTGTGTCTCCGCAGCCAAGGGATACCTAGTACGACCGGGTACCCACTCAAATCGGTGAGGTGGAACTCGGTCAGCTCCAGGTGCACTCCCGTACGTACCAGCGTACGAGCCTTCTGGGTGATCCTTCCTCCCTGGATCTCCCGACCATCGATCACCGTCACTACCCGCGGCGTCTCGAGGTCCGTTACGTCGAATCCATGTAACGACGCGAATGTCCGATCCATGAACATCCCGGTCGCTCCCGAATCCAACAACATGAGTGCTTGGACCGGCACTCCTTCCGGGTAGAACACTCCTACCAACGTCAGATGGCTATCTGGACCGTTGGGTACTCCGCTTGCACCCAGCTGCAAGGGGATCCGGCTACCTCCTCGTGCTCCCCCATTCGGGGTCCTTTGATGATCCGTTATTCTGTAAAGCCCGGGAGTGACCCCCGATGGGGGTCCCCCTGGACAGGCTGACGGGACGCAGGAATGAGGCAAGGTATGGGTAGACATCTAAATGTAATAACGGATGTAGAGCTATTACAGAGGTACTAGTTCTACATCCAAACAACAACACCGAAAAGTACCCCCGACGGGAGTCGCATACGGGAGTCGCGTACGGCGCGTCCGACGCGTCACGTGACCGCTATAACAGTAGGTTCCTGTCGTGGACCATGTGATGAGTGGCTCCAGAGTCTATGACAATGTCGAGTGCAGACGAGTGGGCCAGAAGGGCATTGTGATCGATGGTGATGCTTGCCATGAAAGCAGAGCCGGCGTTGATGCCATGATGTTGACTCCTGTTGCTTACGAGTGCGGCAATGTTGGCACTGTTGTTTGTGTACCTGTTGGCGTTGTTGCCGGTACTGAAGTTGGCGGGCTTGGTGAAACAGTTTGCTGTTGAGTGTCCATTCCTTTGATGGAACTCGCAGAAGGCATTCTCGTCAAAGGGAGATCGAGGAATGAACTTCTTCTTGTTTCCGGTGCCGCCGATGTTGTTGTTGTTGTTCCGTGCTTGTTGACGGGCAGCGATGAGTGCCGTAGTCTCAATTCCTTCTTCCTGAACAATCCTTCTCCTGTACTCGGCTCGGACGGCATCGATGACGTCCTGCGAGTGAAAGTCCTCCTTGAGATAATAGGTCTGAATGAGGGTTTCATAGGAAGAAGGAAGCGACATGAGGATGGCAAAGGCAAAGTCCTTGTCGTCCATCCGGGATCGGCCAGAGACGGTGATAGCGGAGTAAGCCGACTTGAGCTTTCCGGTATGGACAGTCGGATCTTCTCCTTCCGCGAGTTGGGATCGCCAGATGATCGCAAGAAGTTCAGCCCGCCTGGATCCCCTTGCGGCCGAGTAGGTTTCCTGAAGATGTTTAAGTAATCTTTCAGAAGCAGAAGGAAGCGTTGCTCTGTACTCATCGGTGTGAGCGGAGTCCCTTTGGACGAGAGCGTGCCAGGTTGAGAGGTGAGACGGGAGGTTGTGATGGACAAGCTGACTGAGGCTTCCGTCGATGATTCCGAAGGCCTTCTTGTCTTTCTTGATCCATTTCGCAAGTTCCTCGGCTGTAGCTGGAGTAGTTACCGTAGTAGAGGTAGTGGTTGGAGCGTTGTCCGTGCCGGCGGTGGCAGCCAAGGTAGTGATAGGTAGGGTATTAGGTCGAGGAATAGTTCCATCAACAATGTCGTCCAGATCCTTATCGATCAAAGTGTTTTGAATCGAGCGGGACCATTCCGCATAATTGTCAGGACCCTCAAGGTAGGTACGCTTGGTAATCTTGAGAGTATCGAGGTCGAGACTGTCGGCCATGATGAAACTAAGTCGATGTTGAAGAGGGTTGGTTGATGTAAACTAAGGTAATAGCCCGTTGAGCTCCGTTGGTAGAGCAGCCGACTCTTAATCTGTTGGATATCGAGTTGATCACCGTTGTATAGTTTTCATGAGGATAAAATATACAAGAGGGGATCATGAAATCAGACCAGAATGGTCTGCTATATATATTATTCTGGTAGGTGGCAAGGTGCTGCGGTTTGCGGTTTGCGGTCTGCGGTTTGCGGTCGCAAGTTGCGGTTTGCGGTCGCAACTTGCGGTTGTGGTCGCAACTTGCGAGAGTGGTCGCAGATTGCTAAGCGAGTCGCAGATTGCTAAGCGAGAACAAAAGGAAAGGTGCGAAGAGTGGATGTGCTTTATTGTTCCATGCGATCTATTGTTCTGGGAGAACAATAGACGTGCGGGAGAACAATAGGATTCGACAGTCTGCGCGAGTTGTGATGCCAATCTAGCTGAGAAACCATCACCGTCAGCGGGTGATGAAAGCGAGACTTCTCCTGTGTCGGATGTGTCGCCTGAGGAGAGAGCCTGGGTAGATATAGTTTTAGAGCTTCTTGATGTACACTGGGCTGAAGGTTAAAGGTCTTGTCTGAGACTGAGTCCTTGCTGATTTGAGAAAGACTGGGGCCGGGTAGTGTCTCATCAGAAAACGGACACCAAAGGCATCAGTTGTAAGAAAGATCTGCGTCGCGATGACATGGAGTTCTCTGCGAGACGGCACGCCATTATAATACAAGACATTGGGAAAGTGCCATAATGTACAAGGATTTGCCATGTCACATATGTACATCAACGCGGCCGCGCCATGATTCATTGCCCTCCGAACACAGTATCGCACCTTTGGGCCTGGTATATGGCATGGTGGAACCCGGTCCTGTAAGCATTGTACCAACCCTTCAGATGCAAGCAGATCCGGGCTGGACATGCTTGGTGGAAGGCGCTGGGAGCGATGGGATGGCCGGATCTCGACCATTCTGCCAGCGTGTGACCCCACCTGTCAAGTTCCCCCTTCATGCCTTCGTCATGCGTTTTTTGCGCACTGAATCCTCTGTCCTGATCGAATTCGGGGATTGTGACCCCTTCACTCCTGGCCTCTCGGATATGCTGTAGGACGGCGACGCTTTCAGTGTGCCTGTCGACCCATTCGGCGAAAGATCCGGGCTGAAGTACAAGCTGCTTGGTGATTGGGTGTAGATCGACCCAGTTGAGGAGATTGGGCTTGAACATGTATTGGCCTGTCGGTGCTTGAGTCCATGCGGATTCGAGGAGACTGCGTGTACCGCTCAATACGAACGAAGAGCCATTTTTGGTAGTCAGGATGTGGCTGGTGTCATCCCGCTCGTGTTCGAAGAGGGTGGAAGCCATGGAATTAGCCGTAGATTGTCGTTCTTGCGCCATGATGTATTGAACCGATACTGTGATCCTTGAAATTGTTCTTCGGTGGAACTTGCAACCCAAAGTGAATGCAAAAACAGGAAGGCTCGAGACGAGGCAGGCAGGTAAACCAGACTATATATATTCGGAGCGGGGTTCATTTCGGTGTAGAGCACGCAAGGGTTATCCTTTCATCAAGACCCTTGATCGAGTCACTCCAACTCAAAGCGTTTCAAGTCCAGAAGAAACGGTCGCTTCTGAGGAGGCGCTGAATGTCGTTGTAATTCTACGGCCACGAGACGCTGGAACTGTCAACATGTGTAGCTTACTGTCTGGGCCTCTCAGCTCGCGTTCGAAGAGGATGGACCATCGCCTTGTACATGCAGCAATTCCAGGTTCGTGTTGGACATCAAGTTGATCACCACCGTGAAGTTTGCACGAAGATGTGACTGCAAGGCAATCCTCGTGCCAGAAGATTGAGAAGAGTATATATCAGGAAGAGCTAGAGATCAGAATAGATGGAGTCTGTTGGCAAATGATTGCTGTCAGTCGGCAGGTGACGACGCAAGACTCAAAGAGGAAGGAGTAAGAAGTAAGGTGAAACACCGGGGAAACAAAGACAAGGTGCGCGAACGTGCTATTATTCTGGTGACTATAATTCCCAGGACAATAGGCACACGCAAGATAATTCGTTGCAACAACTTCTTTGCATATGGCCATTGTTGTGATCACGAATCATACTCAATGGCAGAAGATCTAAGATAAGAACCGATATTGTTATTAATTGTACATCAATTCATGGTTGGTATCAGTATGACTCCTGGTTATAGGGACCCCCGAAGCATACTTCTGATCTCATTTGCAAAATTTTGTCCTCTCATCGTCTTTTGCGGTCTCTCGATTCTACTCCAGGAACAAACAGTAAATCCCTTCCCTTACGCGCAGACTTGTTTTCGGCACGAAGGAAGACAGCTTATATTCCTCTCCTCGACTGTACCTCGGGTATTGGGCAATTGGTGACCTCGCTTCTCGAGGGCCCCCCCTCGAAGCTCACGACGACTTCACAAGACTATTTGCCAAGTTTCAGCGCAGAGGAGCGATGTTTCAAGTATTGGCAACCTGAAACGCTTATCCGTGATTGGCTCGATCGCGACATCGGACTTGACCGATCGAGCGACACGTCACAGTCGAGAAGTTAAATCGACAACCATATTCTATATAGCTCGAAAGACCTTGTTCCACATCGACAAACACCTAGCTAGACAACCTCTATGATCTAGCCTACCAGACCATCGAACTCTCCAGCCATGCCCGAACAGAACGATACCCCAATTCCGGCATCTCTGGCTTCCCCACACGCCCTAACATCTTACCATACATTCCACTCCGATCTACCCCCCTCGAACGTCCCGGAAGGGTATTACCGGTTCCATCCACACCTCAAACCAGAGACTTTTCCTGAGACGAAGATTGTCGGGCTGTTGGCTTGTCAACGGGACCCGTATTTGAGGGAGTTGAAAGGGGTGGAGATTGTTCAGGCGAAGAAAGCGGAGGCAGGGAAGAAGGGGAAGGATGAGAGGAAGAAAAAGTCGAAATTGAAGGGGGATGAGAAGAAGGAAGATGCGGATGGTGATGAGAAGGTGGTAGAGGGTGAGGTTTGGGAGGTCGAGTTGAAGGATACGGTTTTGTTTCCCGAAGGTCGGTCGCTGTCTTCCTTCTTGTCTCCGCTCTTACTGAACCTACTTGGTAATCATTTCGTCACAACCTGTCTACTGATCCCAACAACTCTCTCGCCTGACCGAACACTCAGGCGGCGGACAACCTAACGACACAGGCACTTTCACTATCCACCCTTCTTCAACCTCACCCTCCGACTCTAACGCTCTCGAACCCATCGAGCTGAAAGTGATCAACGTACAAAGAACAGGACTATCCGCCGTACATCATGTCCTCGTCCCCAAAGATCTGCAAGCGAAAGTAGGTAGTGGGGATGTAGGGGAGATCTTGAAGCCGGGAGCGAGGGTTGATATGAAGGTTGATTGGGAGAGACGGTGGGACCACGTACGTCATTCTCCATTTTCTCTCATATCGTCTTGGTCATATCTTCAACTCTTACATCCTTATCCGAACCCCCTGTTTGGTATCATAACCGTGACGTGCCATACGAGCGAAAACGACGCTGATACCCGTATTGAAATTGCATTTGATGGGATCCCGAATAGATGACCCAACATACAGCACAACACCTCCTCTCAGCCCTCCTCGATACGCACTTCTCCCTCCCTACTCTCTCTTGGGCGCTCCCAGCTCATCCTTCTACCGACCCTTGTTATGTCGAACTCCCACGAGGGCTCAGTAAGGAGGAGGTGGAGAAGGTGGAAGGGATGTGTAATGAGCTTGTTACCCGGGCATGGGGAGCGAGAGCCGGGTTGGCGGAAGATGGTGGAAAGGAAGAAGGCGGTGTTAAAGGGGATACGAGGGTTTGGATTGAGAGTCGGTTACAGGGCCAGTCGAGTGTCGCTCAGAGTGGGACGGTAACTCCAGCTCGGACGGATGCGGGGGAGGTTCCCGGAGATGTGCAAAAGGAGATGGAAGGTCTTGGGCTCGGTGCCGAGGGGGGTGTGGTGGAGTATGGGGATAGGGAGAGTAGGGGGTTGCCTAAGGATTATGAGGGGGTGAGCCGGTAGTTGTTATCTTGGAACGCTAGTCTTCCGGGGGGATACTGATCGGGATGACGGTGTGCAGGGTGTAATTCGAACGGCGGTCATCGATGGGATTGACCGGAGCCGTAAGTCGAGGCTTTTCCGGTGCGAAGGAAGAGGTGTATTGATTTCCCCGCTGTCTTTCTGCCTTGCAATTCCGGTTCGAACAGTGTGTTGCGGCACCCAGTGAGTTCCCCCACCTCGCTACAGACAGATTCTGAGCTGACTTTTGTTACTCTCGCCAGTCAACCTTACCTCTCCAAGATCCAGATTATGCACGTCCTCCCGACCACCGCCTCCAAACCATCCCCCAAACCGACACGCCTGTACATGGTCGCCGGGGCCCGGGCTCACCGACACCTTCTACAGGCGTCGAAACAGCTGACGACGACTAGTATCCCGCTGGGATGTGCGAGGAACGAGGTTGCTATGCGGGTCGCGCAGCGGGAAGAACAGCGGAAAGAGGCGACCCGGCTCGAGGGACGGTTGAGGGAGGCCTTAGCTAGAGCTGAGGGTAGGGCGATCAGCTGGAAACAGGACGCAGAGGGGGTCTGGAGGGCCAAGGTCGAACGCAGCGAGGAGAGCACGCATGATTTCGAGTTCATGCAATTGCTCGCGAATCATGCGCAGGATCACCTCATCAACGAGATCGCCACCTCGTCCTCGCCTGCCCAAGGGAAAGGGTCGTCTTCGCCCTCCTTTGTCCTGGTCGTCGTCTCCAATCCGGATCCGGTCTGGCTCAACAAGACGCACCAGGCAGGAGGCGCGTTCTTGCAGATAACGTCGAGCCCACCTGATCTGGCAAAACAGGCAGGAGACGGCGTGAAACTGGCGTTGGACGGTTTGGGGGTCAAGGGGCGGGTGAAAGGAGGTGGTGCGAAGGGGAAGTTCATGGGCAAGGTCGCTGGGGGTTGGTCGGCGCGTGATGCCGATGCAGCCAAAGGTGTGGTGGGAGAGTGAGGAGGCGGAGCTGTGTATTGCGTGTGAGTGCGTTTCTTGCTGTAAAACGAGTACTCCTTTCACTCGAGCACGCCTCGTTCAGTCGTCTTCCATCCGCATATAAGATGAAATCTGCATGTACGAAAGATAATTCAATATAGGGTCTTGTCCCAAGCGACGTTTCCCTCATCGCAACAATCTCTCTTGACATCGATCACTTCGTATTTGAACTCGTCAACATGCACGGCGACGATAGTTCGCGTAATTCGCGTAACGATATTTACACTGCGCTGCTCGATGCTCTTCCCGAAGGACAAGTCGAACGGTCTGATGCCGTCTCCTCCGACCAGACTTTGACTTTCTCCGGGCAGCTGTCTTCAAACCTATCTGAATTGTGAGTGAGCATAGGCACAGTCTTCCGATCCGGACAAGCAAGCTGATGGAATTGCCCGGTGCTCTGTGTTGCTGTCGAACATTCATAGAGCAAGGACATCGCCAAAGTCCTCGCCCTACGCTCACATGAGTAGCCGCGAGGAAAGTGCTTTCGAAGTGGAGGATGCACAGCAATTCCGCGCACTGTTCTGCTCTCGCATACTACCAGATCCTTTCCAGTCGAACGACTCTGGTATCCGTCACGCCTATAGGCGCTGGGATGCATCCCGGCGTAGCCTTCACGAATCGTACCTCATGGGATTGTCATACGTCTCGTTCGACCAGGCAAAAGATCTAGCAATCCACGCGCTGCAAGTTTACAGAGCCAAACTCCAACATTACAGGTATCAAAAGCATGCTGTCTCTCCCGCTTTGATCGTGGCAGTGGAGATGTGTATCACCTTAGTGAACGGCGTTACAGAAAATACTACACGTCCACTGCAGTCGTTCATACAACAGCGCAAGATAGTCAATGATTTCGAGGCCAAATGGCGGGAGCACTTCGAGAATGCGCACGAAGAGCACGCAGCACGAGCCTTGGACAATAGTGTTGCGCTTCGTTCGCTTGCCGAATCCAGGAGCTGGAATACAAGCGCGAGAGACGTCCAAGCGTCAAGCTTGTCACTTTCTGATTACAATAGTCTGGTGGCGAACAGTATCGCGAGCTTGAATCCTCCATCCACTCGATCCCAAGCTTTCTTTTCATCCCCTGCTCAAGAACAGTATGTAGTATGGAGTTTACGATTGTGCATGAGACCCGCTGATACTGTCTTTTCGCCGTTCAGGACGGACATGCAACGGTTCCTCAAAGTGTTATCAAATTGCGTCAGCCTGAAAGGACGCGTCTGGCAGCCGCCTCCCAAGAGCTGGTCACATAATGGAAGAGAGAAGTATAGCCGCAATTGCGCAAACTATGGGAAGAAACACCTGGCTATGCGGCGCTACCAGGAGCTTGTGCTAGACACCCGGGAAGGAAACCAGCTCATACCTTTGGCTGCGCTCGAATGCATCGTGGATCTTATCAGAGCGACACTAACCCTGTATCGAAACATATTTCGGAATGGACTGGAGAAAGCTTGGGAGACCCCCAACCTTGAAGTACTCGAGAAGGCATGCGAATGCATTCAATACAGGCTTGCTCATCTCAGCATAATTGCAAAGGGGCATGCTGGTGAGAATTACCGGTGCATCTGCGACATGCAAGGCCATCGCGATCAGTCTTTGAGCGAGTACAGAAACAACATCCCTGCTTGTGTGGAAATCATGTGGGAGGAGTTGCATCGATTCCATGGCCGCTTCCAGATGGAGCTGCCGGAACTCGCCAAAGACTTTTCTGTAGCACGATAGTTGCCCTGTTTGTTCCCTAGCTGCAACATTTTCCAAATGTATACATTTTGGTATATCTGGGGAGCGGGATGGAAGTGAATTTCTTTCGCTGACCTTTTCAAGTTCCAGGTGTTGTGCCTTCCTACTGTTCCTACCAGCAGATTACACGTCTCGATACAATGTTTTCTCGACGTGCTTTCGTACAGTAACTCTGTTTTCCACCTGCCTACACAGCTTTTGGTAACGATTTGAGATTGACAGGGTACCGACAAACCTTTTCTTGTGAGGATATATAGCGCTCATCTCATTGCCTTTCTGCAAGGACGGCAGTTTGCCGATCTATTAAAAGGCGCTCATCGCCGTCAGTTGCTAATCGGTACAAGGCGTGGGCTTAAAAGATGCCTCTCGAGAAGCTTGGAAAAGAGGTTACTCCTTTCATCTGAACGGCGAGACACCTCTTGGTGGGCATTCATCTGTTAACATATAAGCAATTGCCTCCTTCGCTTTTCCCATCTCGATCGACGGCTAGGCGCGCTGCAGCAACGTCCATACAGAGAACATCGACGACAACATGAAGCAATCATCCTCACCAGAGCTTTCCACTTCTTCAGGAAGCCAGGCACGAACAGAAGTAAGTATTGGAGTTTATCTTGCTGATCACCGAGACCGTATCGATGTCTGACTGAGGATCGCTTCGTCCTGAACACCAATCATCGTTCTTGTCTTCGTGAGTGCCTACACTTAATCAAGCTTCTTCGATATGGGCGGGACGTCTGACAGTATACGATCGTTTCTAGTACGCAGCGGTCGATTACAAACACGGAATTTTCGCTAGGTCCTTCATATGCCACTACCTTACCGGATCACAGTGGTATAGACGTTGCCGAGCCGAAAGATGCATTGGCAGCCCTGTTCGCTTCTACCATCTTCCCAGATCCGTTCAAATTTGAAGATCAGATTACTATACAGGATGCGTATCTGGCTTGGAGATCTTTACGTGATAGTGTCGAGCAGGCATACAGAAGAGATTTATCTGAAGTCCCCTTCGGACAGGCAAAGGACCTAGCAATGCTGACATTGGGAGTTTATGCGGCAAGACTCCAACACTACAATATGCTAGGTTTTCAAGTCTCGCCTGAGCTGTCTCTGATCTTAGCAGCACACCTTCAGGGCATGGAGCTGATGACGGAGAACCCCGACGATCCCGTACAATCGTTCAAGGCGGTGCGCGCAGTCGTAACGATCTTTGAATTGCAATGGGAAAAAGCAGACTTTGCGCTTGTTCACCAGCGCCCTCGTGAACAAAGGATCTACCTGGAGGCTGTAGAGTCTCCGGCAAACAGTGAGGGCGCTTCGGAACTTGGAAATACTCTCGCAACCTCATATGTTATGAATCAGACGACACTGAATTTGTGGGTTAACACTGATGGTGCCGATGCAACTTCGACAAATTTCGGTCGAAGCCTCTTGAGCGGCAATCAGGATGAACGGAGCGCCACACAGCAATCTCTTAGGGATCATTTCGATATGATGGGTGGCTTTGTAGAGCAGACTGCTGGAAGTCTCAAGTCTTCTGTAGCCGCCGACTCTTTCACGAAACTGCAAGCAAGTGGTTCAATCGCACACGAAGGAAACGTCAAGCCCTTGCTGCTCGGCGATATGATCAACGATCCCAGACCTCCAAAACGCGGAAATATGTCTTACCCGCTATCACGTGCTCACGCTACCATACATGAAGCAGTATACACACAGAATCGCAGGGAGTTTCAACTCCCAGTGTCCTATGAACATTGGAGACGATTGAGGAAATCGACAGAATCCCGTTTTTTTGACTATCGATATGGATACCAATATCTGAGTATGGTGGTGGATCGGTGTAGGGTATATCTGAACACTCTCGAGTGGCACCAGAACTACAGACTGGTCAAAGAGCCGCAGTATCATGTTATTGTTAAGCGAAACGTCGTGTGTATTTTGCACATGGCTGTAAATCTGAGGAACAAAGAGGATCATAGTTGCGAGTGCAGAGTTTTCAATCAGGATCACAAAGTGAATGGAACTACATACTATTCCTTCGGCAGCATCAGCAGGACTTTCCAGGCTTTAGGCGATTTAGAAATCATACTGGAGAAGCTATACGAAGCCAACGTGAGGAAGGTTCAGGGGAGGAGAAGGGGCCGCTAGCTATAAACTCATTGAACGCTTCGGATCGACAATCTAGTGGTCCGGGTGTCACTACTTCTGTGAAAGGCTAGAATGTTCTATCGACGTGTACTTTTAGATTGAATTGTATTGCCACATCTTGTTGTACCCGATATTCGCGATTTGTTTTCTATCCTGCGTGAGACTCACGAATATTGACCTGCTCATTTCCCAATTCCTAAGAGAATCCAGGTCGATTTTACTAGTTAAGCGCGGCGATCGCCCTTCGTTTCACGTAGCGCGGTCGTCTTACGAACCGCTCGCAAGCCAAACTTTCGGCCTACCACACTCCATATTACGAATCCACTGCAATCGCAGTGAGGAGGGCAGAACGATCTCACCTCATGGTCTGTGTGTTTACGGAAGGTGCCGGACACTCCGTTCGTCGAGTGTACGAGAAGGTACCTGCGCTCAGCAAGAGTAAGTCGCTGGTGTATACCACAAGGTAGCGATTTCACTTTCAGCTTCAAGATGGCACATTCGGAACGGTCGAAGCGAGATGCGGTTTCCGCAGATACAGACCTAATAGCGTCTCCGTATCTACACTGAGTACGGCATCGTAGCTCAATCCCATGATCTCTTCGTCAAACCGCTCTAGGGCCCTGTCCCCCAGAGACGCCGAAATAACATGAAAGGAGTTGCGTTCATCGATGATGCCAGCAGTCGCGATTGATCAAGTGATTATGACTTGGAGTGTAGAATCACCTGCAGGCCTTCCTTTGTTTTTCAAACCTGAGTTCTTTCCCTAGATGAGCCTTAAGAGACAGCCTGTATATAGTAAGCTTGGAGCGATACTCTGCCTTCGTCACTATTCTTTGTCACAACAGCCACAGTTCGCAAAAAATCCCTCGTATCGTCGAAGCATAAATATACTTTATTTGCGGATACAAATGCAATACAACAGAAGTTTGACGCTCAATTCGCAGAGCGATGAGATTACACAGCGCTCCAGCATAAACACATCGCACTCGATTCATCACCCGTATGCTTCGCCGGGTCCGGCGAGCGAACACATGCCAGGCGAAGAAGAGATGGGTCCGCATGCAGATCGTCTTGTTCAAAGGATGATGAGCGAGGTTCTCAGCGGAACGGATGGAACGGAATTGCCTGACTGTCTCGCAGGGAGGTCATCGCAAGATGAATCACAAAGTCTGAGCCCCGTGGCGCCCAGTTTTGCTCCCGCAACGGTTTCAACCTACCGATCGTCGAAATTGAGCGCTGATGATGTGCACCAGTGAGTACAATCTGCATTCTCTTGGCTTGAGAACAAGGGTGACAAGATTGGGTATGACTGACGGCTTCAAGCAAACCGGCCCTTTCGAGCCCCGTTTTCATACCTGGGGCCGCGTTTCACGGGAGTCCAGGTGCTCAAGGACAGGCAGCCGCCTCCTTGACGGCAAGTGTAGATCAAACGATGAATCGAGAGGGTCTGCTTCCCGAGAGCCATTTGATGCAGTAAGTGCAGCGCAGAGATTGACCAGCAGAACTTCGATGTGCTAGTTGTGGAAGTGAGAGCTGATAGACCGGAACAATCCTTGACTAGAGGGTCGGCAATTTTCTCTTATGAGATGTCAGAGTACGACTTTAAATCGATTCCGGGTTTAGTCTTTCCAGTACCCGATCTACCAACAATCACTAGTTCCACGACTGTCCGGACCTTCAATCCAGATCGCCCAAAATCGCATACGTCCCTGCCCCCAGAGTTGAAGCATACTCTGTCGTTGGTCTTAGCGAGAGGAGACCCTCGATCGTCGCCGTTGCCGGCCATGGGCAAGGCTATCGAACATCTAGGCTGGTTATACTCCAGATGGCATCTCCATTATCAGAAAGCGCTAAAGATAGAAGGAATGATTACAGCCTCGAAGCAGACAATTTTCGACGTCATTTTCCAAGAGCTTTCCAGTCGATTGCGGTTATATAAGGAATGTTTGCTACTGCTCAAGGCACCTCACGCCTTACTCGTGGCTTGTGATTGCACAAGGAGGAGAATCACATCTCTCCGCCCAAGTCAGGGCACAGGTCAACAAGAAGGAAATTTTACCTGCACATGCCAGATGAATCATGGAAGCGAAGCAACTTTTCAGGGTCACACCCAGAAACTCGCTTGGACCGCCCACGAAATGAACAACACGGTCGAGGACTTTCACGAATACTACAAGCAGCATGATTTGATTTTCTGCGAATAAGAACGTAACTCGATTCTTCGTGTATGGTATCAGCATGTATACAGTGCTATACATCGGAAAATCTGCTCTAGCTCTCTGACAGAGGTCCACCGCCTCATAAGCTTGTAGCGGGAAACGTGAGACCTAATTGTAACGTGTGAATAGGCAATGTGAAAGCACAGATACAACTTGTCCGACAGCATGTACTTAAAAATATGTGGCCAGGATTGTCTATGGACTTAGTCGAAACTCATGACAGAAGGTTCGAACATGACCGCCATGTCGTTACAGTACTTACCTCTGCGTGCGTGATGTTGTTTGGGTACGCTAGTCATTCTTCTTCGTTCCAAGGACGATGGAAGATTAACAACCATATAATCAATAACGTCCAGCTTCTGATTAAGAACGCTTGTCGATATAAGGAAGCGATGTAGTGGGTGAGGTCGCGCCTGGAACGCAAGATTCACGTTCTGCCATACTGGCGCTCATACGGGACTACCGCTGGATAGTGGAGCCGAATGGCCTTTGGGTTACCGGCGCCTGATATGGTTTCCAGCTTTATCAAGGCGACTTGCCACTCCTTTGTTTGATCTTGTGACATTTAGAGTCCGAATCTAAAAAAATCGGCCGATCGACCGCTTGGGTACCCATGTAAGGAGACCACGCTGTGATCTTCTATTCGAGGGGATGGTCTGGTCGGCTGCCTGACATCGAACATCTATCCTCGTATAAGTGATGTTGTCCAACCAATGCGACGATTCCTCGCAGAAGGCAAAGATCTCATCCATGGAAAGCTCGTGAGTGCGGGATAGTCAATGATGGGGATGACTGGCTAGCTGAATAGCTGAAGAGCATGCGCAACGTCCAGTCCTGCTCCTCTGACCTTTACAGCGCCCTGGAGCAAAGATTACGATCCCGCAAGTGATGGGACGGATTTTTTTCCACCCGGTTCTAATTCGGCGATAAAGCATACAAACTCAGGCTCTATCGACTACAGTACGGATGGAGAGATTGGCTTTTCTGTTCAGGATTTTGCAGAAGGCGTCATCAAGGATCATGTAAACACAGCATCACGGCCAGAATTCTCGGTAAGCTTGAGACGAGCTATGCCCAACTGGACGGTAAACCGGCCATTGGTCCAGGATCAGTTCCCTAACGAGCAGGATACACCTACTGTGAAGAAGCAAGAGCATGGATGGCAGTTGCTCCATGATGACCTGCTTAGACTTACTACCCAAAGTTGGCCGGGACTTTGGCCTGTCGAGCAAGAGGCTCAAACAGTCTTGCTTGATGCTGTAGCTCGTGAAGGTCAAGCACGAGTTCAGTATTACATGGCTAGGGGAAGATCGATCCACTTCGATGGCAACTCCCGACAGCCTCCCTACCGGTCCAACATACACAAAGCATGTCAGTGTACTAAGAAGAGAATCGACAGGATACTCGATGGACAGTCGAGTGGTTGTAAATGCGACATCGGACACTCTCCCCTGTTGTTCCGCGCGAGGGGAACGTCACATCGCGCTATTGACATCCTCCAAGTCGTCGCCCTGTTGGAGGCATATTGGAAGATACAAGCGGAAACGAGTCAAAATGAAATGGGAGACCGAGTCAAAACTGCTTAGAGGTTGAGTATAGTTACTTTCAAATGTATTTACTATGTACCTCGGTTGAAGCGATCTCACAATATCACCGAGAATTGGATCTGCTTTATCAAATGCAAGCCTTGATCGCGCTAACGACTACATCGCGAGGCGTTACGACTGACTGCGTAGAGATTCGAGATGCCGAGTCATGTTCAGGTATGACCGTCACAGGACCCAGGGAACGGGAAATGCAGACGACCTTCAGAGCCTGGTCCCTTTGTTCTCGGAGCACGTTAACGTACTGAACGCGCCGAGCCGATAATCTGCGACAAGACACGCGCTCTGATCACTGTCAAGCGCAATCTGTCTCCCTTGGGCTTGATGCTACCTTGTGCCGCCTGTACCTATCCTCCTCTCCCCTCCCTTTCCGCCACACCCTATGTTTTGCATAGACAGTTGAAATCCTTTGTCTCTCGGTCACGTCATAATCAGGATAGGCAAACAGCTTCTCAGAAAAATCAGGTATATAACCGCCACGTCTAAAGTCTCTTTTGCTTCTTCCAGGGAGGACTTGGAAGAGAGAGATCGTTTGCCGGTCGTACAGAGCACAGTTCTATCTGTTGCCACCAATCATGTCCGATTTTCTCTCGGCCCAAGACTTTGTGTTCGAAACCGGTCAGGGTGTTAATCATCCGTCAATCGATGGTCAAGACCCCACCGTATCAAGCAATCAAGGTCAATCTGTCACTCATTTCTCTGACAATCTCACTAACTTTTGGCCCCAATCGTAGTAAGTCATAAAGCCAGTCCCGAGCGCTGGTACCATGTCTATGTATGGAGTTGCAAAGACACTGAGCATCGCCTGGTATACCCTGCCGGGTTCCTTCCATAGCTCGAGTTGCGACTCAGCTCTAAGCGTGAAGCACTCACAACAAACTACCCTTCTGCTGACTGAACATGGAATCATTCCGGTATTTGCCCCTCTGCAGCCACTGGAAATACTCGGCGAGATCCTAGCATCGATCTCCCACGACAGCGAAAATTCGAGTGTCGCATTACTCAACGAAGATGACGCTTCTTCGCCGTTATTGACGGATCTAAGGAAGGACTGGAGCCGAGCAGCGGAACAAGTCCGGTACTGGAAGCATGTTTTCTGTGATCTCAAGCAGCATATCGTGTTGGATCCTGAAAGCTGTATCTTTCCGGTGGAGGCTGTTCTCAACGAAGCGATCAGCCGCTTCCGGTTGTGCATCGCGATCGCGAGTGAAAAAGAGCGATGGAGCGACACTCGCTGGCTGAGTGGATTGAAGAAAGGCTACACATGCTCGCTCGATAGAGTTACGAGCTTGCAATCGATGTGGAGACAGCAGACTCCGTCTCGTCATCCCGCATACGCGTGTCATTGCTCGTGCGGTCATCTTGCTATCGGGTCTATCGGTAGCGATTGGCTGTGTGCAAGAGAGATTCATCTTACGACTTTGCAACTCCTGGAAGCCAAAGATCGACTCCTTAGTACCAGTGATCGTCCTCTTGACGTCTCTGGATGGTGAGTACGCCAGATACGAGAATTGAGGTTTCTTGGCTCATGAGACTGGTGAATAACTATTGTATGTAATTGTTGACAGTAACGATGCTTGTTCTCACAACGAGTATACGTATGAATCGGGATCTATGGCACAACAGGTCATGCCTCCGACTAGCTTCTCTTCTGGAAACACCGCTATAACATGGTTCGAGACACTGTCGCTTTCGTCAATCAGTCCGCAATTCCGCATTAATTCTGATCTCAGCGATAACAGCATCACGGATAGATTGAAAGCGATGCTGGGAGAATACTTGTCTGTTGAAAAATTGGACTTTGAGGATTCGCTCGTCATCCCACAGGTTTGGACTTCCGTCATCCAGGTTCAAAGCAGTTTGCGTACCATCAAAGAAACGCTGTCCGGGAAATACATACAGACTTGGGACAGATGCGATCTCGACAAAGATCCGATTGACCTGATTGAGGACACAGCTCGATTATTTGAATCTGTGCTAGTGGTACACATCAGGTTGCTTCGGTTCCTGAAGGCGTGTCTGCCAACAGAACTTGCTCAGGAGTGCGCCAAGCGGCATCAAATCGGTCGATGTTCCTATGACAGACTTGTCAGTCTGAGATGTTCTCAAACTCAGCATCGTCTGGTCCAGCATCGAAGAGTAAGATCTCATGGATACACCTGCAAGAGGAGCTGTGGTACACACAGATCTTTCGGGAAGGAGAATATATCTATATTGAACTGTGCCAACAATCTGAAGCTGACTCTCGAGAACTGCCGGCAGGAGTTGATCGCGTGGTTCAGTGCGCCAGTCGACGGTAGCTCTCCTTCAGGAGGGGGATCATACACAATCACGCGGTTGGAGATGTTCTTTGAGAAATCGCTGAGTAACAAGAGGTAGCGTTCGCGCATGCACGACAAATATTGCTTGTATTCTAGGTGTCGTTAATAGCGGACCATCTTGATGGTATATGCTACATAGTATGGGCATTCTATCGTATAACGACGCCAGAAAGATTTACTACGTATGCAAGACATAACTCACGATACGGATGAAGATCCTAACAGGGTGTTTTGCTACCTGTTGAAGGATCACGTCATAAGGTTTTACTCCTTTGTCAGATTCGTCCTCCGCAGAATAAAGTGATCTTATGCCGCTTCTCGGAGGTCCCTATCATTTTTATATTCCCTGCTCGTGTCTGTTTCGATCACTCCTTAAGTTGTATGAGTCAGGGAGCATCCGATCTATTCGCTGTTCGAAACGAATTTAGCCAATGTCCTCAACTCATGGCTCATCCATAGCACGCACTGAGCCTGAGGACGATCAGGTGTTGAAAGGGTGGCGAAAGAATCTGATTCCAGGACTTGGTGCAACTAGTCATTTACCGCCTCCATCCACCTACACGGATACCGGATCCCTTTTCTCAAGCGTAGATACCCGGATCACTTCGAACCCTAACATGGCTGAGGCCATAACTACAGGCAGTGCTTCGCCACGGGAGGCGGATCTGTCAAGGCTTACTGTCAATTCGAATTCGGAATCTCCACCCGCACTAGCATCCAGATTACGCCACATCATGAATGAGGTATACAAGCATGATGGCATCCGCCATCGAGCTCAGTGTTACCTATCGGCCTTGCTCGACCGATTGAATCAAGGTGTCAACATTGATACTCGAACATGGAGTGTATCAAGCGCCAAAGCTCGAGGAATCAACACACATCTCCAGTGCGGAATCATGGGCTCTTCTTCTGCCGGCTTGGTCGTCGCTATCATGCTGGAAGAAGCTTCTGATTTGCTCGAGATGTACAAGGAAATCCTGCTCCAGCTCCAAGCACAAGACTTTGACACAACGATCTCACACAATGCCACCTTCGAACAATTACAGAAGGCGGCCACGTGTACGTCTGGTTTGATCCTTGTTCTTATCGCGAAAAGGAGAGGCGTGGCAACCAATTTTGTCTGCCGCTGCGCTCTCAATCATCACATCGACCAAACTCTCGACGATATTGGCTATGCCGAACAGACTCGTGATACAGTTTCGACATTCCTGGCTTCCTTCCAAGAGATGACATCCCAGATCTTGAAACACGGCCGCCGCGCCCATGCTGCAACGCTTTCATCGTTTGATCTTTCCGGCTCGATACAACCATCGCTCCCAACCGATATGTCTCTCGAATCCATTCCTGCGTAAGTCTTAGCCGTTCAACGGGCACCCTTCACGATACGGGGGTTGCCAAAGTGGTTTGTGCTGAAATATCAGCACGTGTACTCGATTGCAGGCAGAGTATAAATGCCTGGTATCCCGACTTCGGTATGAACCCATCGTTCTATCCCGGGATAAGTTCACATATGACCATGTCAGTGCTACCAGCGCCGCCTGATGCTGTGTACCCTGCGTACAAATCGTCTGGTCACGTCGAACTTGCAGTGCGCGCTCAACTTGGGGAAGTTATGAGAGGTATCCTCGGAGATACAGCCTCAACCTTTACTGAAGTTGTTGATTCCGCACGCCAGATATCTCAGGATCATCTGGCGCGCTGGGAAACTCAGAAGCGTAGTGGATGCGAGCAATTGGCGAAGGAGCTACATCCTGAGCCCCCGGTATCGGATCTGGTCTTCCTGGAATCCATTGGGGGTTTAGTCGTGTGTCGTCTGACGATACATCTACGTCTTCTCGAAAGGAAGTGGATGAACGCTCGTGTTTCGGACGACCGCATCACGCCCAGCCTGATCGCTCTGTGCGCATGCTTGATCGCGAGGGTAATGGTCTTACAAGACACTCGAAGGGAACCAATCCTCACTTGCAAATGTCAGCTTGGTCAGTTTCACCACCTCTCAAGCCACCACTACGGTGTGACGCCATTGGACGCCATTGCAGCCCGAGCTCGGTCGATCAGGGACCAGCACATGGTCTTCGAAACCCTGCGGCAGCAGTTGATGCCTGCACCGTGAGGTGGTACTGGAGTACTGCTTCTGTTACTATATGCGATGACCCCATGGACCTTAATCAAGGACATTCAAACACGTGTAATAGCTTGTTGTACAAATCCAGACTCTTTGACTTCGACCTGAATATGTGCGTTTCACATCTCGGCTGTGATTCACGGACCCACGTGGTACCTGAAACAGATCTCGCTATGGGTATATCAGAGATACGTGACAGAATCCAGTCTGAAACACAACCGCGCCGACGAAAACATTACGAAAGCTGTAAGATCATTGTGAGCGGCCATATAGAATCTGATGTACATCGGACTCCACAAGCGATGAACGAGACCTTGTACTATCAGTTTGGCACCCTCCCTCTCATGCCTGGCTGACATTCTGCATGGTTCTGTCACAGTGATAGAGAGATCAAAGTTGCATCGCTGAGTGCGATAAGTGGTTGAATAGTAAGTCTTATATCCGTTAAGCATCCCTTAGCTGTTGCGTCCTACTCTATGGAATATCGAGTTTTTTTGGGTCCTGTTCGATTACCCCATGTTCCGCCTGATGACGACCTATGTACAAGCCTGGCCGTTCGTGCACAGTTCTCGATACAGGCAAAATCGCCGCCAGATACAAGATATAGAAATCCTTGCTGTCGTATTTGGGTTGCGATCATTCTAATCGAAACGATACAATTCCGATTGGCGAAATGATGATGGAGATTGAACGGACATACCGATGTATTATCGGCTTGCGTCTTACCAATCCCTTTGACTTTCGAGCACGCAGTCTCTTCAGGATAGTGGCGCAATATCGCGCCGCCATGGTCGGCCGGCTCATATTATTGCTTACCAGATGATGTCTACGTGTCACGCTATTCCTACCAAGGGCTTGATAATGATGTGCTCCTGTAACCCATGTTTGAAGAGATTGATCGACTGAACAGGAGGTCGGTCCAAACGATCACCTTGATCTCGGAGGGAATTGCGCGCCTATAATCAAAGGTTTGGGCCATATATCGGGGCGATTGTTGGTCGGTGCCCTGATTAAGCTCCAGCTAGGACATCGCAGTCTGATTAGTCTCGTCACGCAGAGACAGGCTATAGATACAGTCTCTGTACCAGACTCGTGAATAACATCTGCCATTCAGGTATCAGCATTACTTGACATCCCTTATCAAGCCAATTGTCGCGAAGCTTGTCCGTGTTTCCGCGGCGATTGGTTACTGGAACCTATCGCGATGATTAGAGCAGTAGCTAATGCAGTCGCTCTAGAGCAATCAAGAGATTTGTTTCATTCACCACTCACAAAGTTATCAAGTGGACCTTCGCCACAATTCGCGTCCGCGTTTCATCTGGCTCGGGTGTCAGATGGCGCTAGCGCCTGTTTCGTGGTCTTGTTCAGGTTATTCAGAGCCGCAATGCAGTCGGCATCCCTTCGTCCGACACAGACAGCGATACGATGGAATCTACCGAGAGAATGGATAAGCGTATGTCAATTTTTATGGTAGGCAGGATCACGTAGGTTGGCTCGTACATGAATGTGAGATTACGAGAGATGAAGAGCAGAATAACCGTGGCCAGAGTTTTCCAAGCGAACCGGGATGCGAAGAATGATTATTGGTGATATGACCACCAATCTCAAGACGGATTAGCCTATCTTCTTCATAACACTGTGACTGATATGGGATTACGCCATAGGGAACCGCAATCCGCTGATATGAACAGCTTGGTAACGATATCTGGGTCTCTCACGCCCATTTGGACAGATAACCTGCATGCACCGATAACGTAATCGACTTCCTTTTACTAATAAATTCGTGTAAGAACGAGACTATACCGTGTCCTGTGGTGCGCCACGTCGCCTCTTCACTGAACCACATCCTTTGTTGATTAGCCCCCTCCCGAATCGACATCGTATATAGTAAAGAGCCGTATATGCACTCCCGCCCATTCATTCACCCTGTTCAGAAACAAACTCATCTTACAATCGACGAAAGTTCCACCATCAGCAAGATGCCAGAAAACCTCTCCCTTTCGAACCATACTTGTTCTGCAAACTCTGTTGAAGAACAGTATCCAGGCTTCCCCTTGCCGACTGCCCCCTTGCGACAAGGGGAGGATTCCCTCGCCTCGACTATCCATGATACTTCGTATATCTGGTCATGTGCACCCGTTGACCCATGTCCGGAAAGTGATGATGAGTGGAAAGATATCCTCAAAGCCATGAAAGAAGATGCAGGTGCCTCTGCGACTGACGACAAAGCATCTCAATGGTAAGCTACAATTCGATAAATGTACTAAACTCCATCCGATGTGCTTTTGCTAATCACATCAGATTGTTCTTGTGGCAGGGAAATGTCCTTGCACTCAGAAGACATGTCCGTTGAGAATCCAAGATCTGGTCTTTCCGACGGCGTATTTCCCCCCGAATCGAATGATACGGACCTTTCTGCAAGCCTGCATGGGATATCGTCAACCCCGACTGGTATTCTGTACAATGGTCAGCCGCACCAAATGGACGTCATCATTATGCTGCAAAATACATTGAAGGATTTGACTGAGGGCAAAAATCTAGACTTTGAGTGTCGCATTCCTTTTGAAAAGCACTGGTACAAGGGGATCACAGCTCAGCAAGACTTGCATAGATACAAAGCTAACAGCTTGATCAAGATTCAGAAGGATTTCGGAAGATCGCTTGGACCCAGAAAACTACAAACTGTTCTGCTGGAAGCCCTCGCTAATATGGCTACAACGGTCCTCAGAGTCGACGTTCACTTTCTCAGATATCTCATCGGGAACTTTCCAAAATCCCAGACGCTTGGATGCCAACAATGGATACAGATATGTTACTGCACCATGAATCGGATTGAAGAACTCAGGGACAACCTCAAGTTCAGCAGAAACCGACGGCTCAGGTGCAGAGGCCCTTGCGGCAAGCATGAAGATATCAGGAATCAGAGCTTTCACGTTCTGTACTACGCGGGTGAAATCAAGAAACAGTTCGAAGAATGCCGGGGCGCTTTCTTCAAATGGCTGAACTCGCCAATCCAGGAGGGCAGCTCGAGCGTCACCACTCGCAATCTTCCTGTACCAGAGGTAAAATCGCTGTGGGACATGTACAAAGAGAAGGTTAGCAACGGTAGTGCGTAGAGACGGACTTGTTAGAGAAGGAGGATACCCTTCCGTGCAGCAGCCATTCCATTTGTTTGACGCTATAGACTGTCGTGCTTATTCTCGCTTTGTACTGCCCGTATGTGGGAAAAAATGTTTGTCAAGTTCGTTAAAGCCATCGATGATTTTATCTCAACGAACGTATGCGAAAGTGATACAGGCAGTTAATCGAGCTCTCAACAAGTTTTCCCAGAGCATGATTTAAGGCTGAGATGACCTTTCCGCGTCGTTCATGACTGTCGACCCTAGAACGTTTAGGCTCAGGGTGGAATCGAAACTTCTCCCCTGTACCCTTGACAGCTTTGTCCCCAGTCAGCCAATCACTTGGCACTCTCGCAGCATTACCGCATGTTCACATATCCCCCATTCAGTCTCTATGAGTTACCCTCCTGCAAGCCAGGCACAGGCTCTCAACAAAGCGACTGCCATCAAGGATCACGTACTAGATGTTTCGGCGCCTCACAACATTTGGACTAAGGAGCAGAAAATTCAGATTCATGCTGGATATGTGGCTATGTGTGAGTGAGACTGATTGGTGTTTTCATGTCTAGAGTCTAAATACTGTGTCTAGTCTTTGAAGCACGACGACATGGCTGTCTCTGGGCCTTGTTGTTGTTTGCTTGAATTATGCTTCTGACAGTCTGTATTGATCTCATCATCAAGAGTCATGATGCAAGAATTCTGGTAGCAACAATCTTGGGGCTGTTGTTCAGTCTGCCGGTCAATTATGTCGGAGACAAGAGTGAGTTCCGAGGCTCCGACGCAAAACGAGTCGAAACGCAACATGAACCGAAACCTCACCTCCTAAATCACTCATGACTCAGTACTACTACAACACGGGTCTCGTCAATACTTTTCATGACAGGATTGGTGGCTCTGTTGGCCTTGGCAGTTGTTATATACGATCAAAAGGCTTCTTTGAAGTGGTCCATACTTCGATAATGGTCATTCCCAGATGAGACCGGGGTATGTTCCCCTGGAGCCGATTTGATCCTTCCATGCCCCGTCTTGTCTCACACTGTTGTCCTTCGCAGCTGATTTTGAATCGTCGCACACTGGCTGTTAAGGTCAACCATGTGTCAGTAGAGCGCCAAAGTGTTGGTGTGGCACTGGTACTTCCTACGCCTAGGAAGCGACGGCGCCGTACAAATATATCCTAATAGTAGCCCGCGCGTAAGGAAAAGCCTGACCTGAGTCCATCCCCTCGAGCAACCTGAAACCCCGTCAAACCCCCTCCTGGGCCTAGATATCACCCTGCGTCACCAACCTTCAAAAGAAGGTGTGTCGCCTCTGCGAGCTCGCGTCTGCCCACCAACCTTGAATTGGTAGCGTCATGAAACTGGAACGTGGATCTCGATCGACGCTCCATCTGGGCGCGGCACGCGAATAGCATTCATATAAGCGTGATCCTCGTCAGAGCCTTTGAGATTGGTAGCTTCATACGCATTGAGGCTGCAGGAACCTTCTTGCCTTTCCCAAATGACTGGCAGAGCTTGGTCCTCTTACTTCTTTGCTCGTCTAGTACAGTAGCTGATAGGGAGTTTTCCATCGGCATCGGAAGCGCGCGCGTCATTGCAGGACTAGAAGGTCGATGAACGTGCAGTGTTTGATATCGAGCTGCAGGTCAGAACAATCATGTGTCACGCAGACAAGTATATGAACGTTAGACAGACATGATCAAAAGGTATGCGACCACGCTTCCGTGCTATCTGCCGTTATGGCAGCAGGCTGTGAGGGATAGAGACACCAAGTCGTTTCTTGCCACTTTGAGGTTGTATGAGCCTGACACTTTTTTCGGAACTTTTCCCAAAAATTGGCGCGATGGACGATTTTTGAAGGAGCGACCTGACTTTTGACAAAGGAGAAAGAAGATCTTGGCAGACGTCTACCTCTACAACGACCTGCTACTTCCCTTAGAACTCACCCCCAAACACCACTCTTCTTGTATCATCTAGACGTCGTGCTGTGTCTCTCTCTCCCCGCCTGGTCTCGGTATATCTTTCCGAAACTCCCGTCATCCTACCTCTCGTCGACGACAAGGAAATCGTATTCTCGCCAATCACCTTCGCTTGATTAGGATCTCTGACATATCGAAAACCTCTTTCGATCATCCAACCTATAATACCCAACCCCGAAAACCCAAAAAAGTCCAGGATCATCAATCATGGCTCCTACCACCGCCAGCATCTCTAAATCCTCTCTCAGCCCTATCCCGGCTTCTCCGTTTACGGACCAACTCGCCTCTCTCGCCCTGGCCACCTCTTCCCTCTCGGCTAAATCTCTTGCGGACAGCCTCGTCCAATCGTTCAAATCCAGCCCTAATCAGACCCACGCGGAATGTTTTGAAGCGGCCCATATTCCCGAAGTCGTCAGGGTGTGGAGTGAGAGTAAACAAGCTGCGGAAAGGGAGTCTGCGGGGATCCTCGTTGAGAGGCTCGTCAAGGGTCTAGGGGAAGGATCTGAGGGCTTGTTCATCTCGACCATCCCGGACCTTTTGAACATCTTGATGGACAAGACCCAGAGCATCAGGACTTCCGCCCAGGGAGGTGTCAATGCGATAGTAAAGACTTCTGCTCCGGAGGGTACGAGGCAGATCATGCACGTCCTCAAGGAAGTCCTTGACGAGTCGAAAGGATGGAGGACCAAGGTTGGAGCTCTGAAGGCTATGGAAGGGCTCGTGAAGAGTGGGGCGGAGGATTGGGTGGCGGAGGAGTTGGGTGGGGTTATTCCGGTTGTTGAGAGGGCTATGCACGATACCAAGTCCGAGGTTAGTCGTTCGTCCACCATCATTGTCTTCTTTTTTTTTTGCTTGCACGTCGGGTTTCGTGATGTCAAGGAGTGCTGATGTGAACGATTCTGGATCCGACTTGTCAGGTCTCTACGCAAGCCAAGAAGACGGCTGCTACCCTCTGCTCGATCTTGCCCAACGCCGATATTATCCCCCACGTCGGTTCCCTCGTCTCGTCCATGGCCTCTCCTACCAACGTCCCCTCTACCATCAAGGCTCTTTCTAACACCACTTTCGTCGCCGAAGTCAACGCTCCTACCCTCGCCATCATGGTCCCCCTGCTCACCCGTGCGCTGAAGGAACGATCGACGGAGACGACCCGAATGACCTGTATCGTCATCGGCAACTTGGTCAAGCTCGTCCGGGACCCCGATGTTGCGGCGAGGTACCTTTCCTCCTTGGTAGCTGGTGTGGAGAACATCGCCTCTTCCGCCGCTTTCCCGGAAATTCGAGCGTTTGCACAGACCGCTCTGGATATCTTGAAACAGTCCGGAGCTTCTTCGGATGCCAAGATCCCGCCTCCGAGGGATATCGCCGGGTCGACGAAAGAGTGCTTGAAGTTGATCTTCCCTCATTTGCCGATCCCTTTCGCTTTCCCCGAGAACCCGTCGTTGCCCATGAGGAAGGACATGCCCAACGCTCCTATCCTCGCTGATGCGATGGAATACGTCGGAGGGATGGTCGCTGACTTGGTCGACTCGAGGCTTTGGGACGAGAAGACCTGGACAGGCCGGGTGCTCGGTTCTCCGTTGAGTCACTGGTTGGAAGGCGGGAAGACCCAGGGTCAATCGGTCGCCCAGGAGATCAGGGGCGTGTTCATGGATATCGACAAGGCTAAATACGCCCCCACCGTCGAGGAGGACGACGGTGAAGGCGAGATGTTGTGTGACATCCAGTTCTCGCTCGCCTACGGTGGTCTCCTCCTGCTCAACCACACCACCCTGCGTCTGAGAAGAGGAAGACGATACGGTATCTGCGCTGGGAACGGAAAGGGGAAATCCACGTTGATGAAGGCCATCCGGGATGGCAAGGTCGAAGGTTTCCCTCCTCAAGACCAGCTTCGGACTTTGATGGTCGAGCACGCCCTTCAAGGAGAGGATGCTACTTTGCCCATCATCGACTTCATCGCTACGGACAAGAACTTGATCGCCAAGGGTACCAAGCGAGAGTCGATTAGGGACGCTCTTTTGCAAGTCGGTTTTACCGATGAGAAGCAGGGCAACCCGGTCGGAAGCTTGAGTGGAGGGTGGAAGATGAAGTTGGAGTTGGCGAGGGCGATGTTGATCGGAGCGGACATCTTGTTGTTGGACGAACCTACAAACCATTTGGGTGAGTTTGAGCCTCAGATTCAGCGTGCGAAAGGCCGAAAGTGGTGCAAGGTCTTGTCGCTGACATCTCGCCCTTTTACAATTGTTGCCCGACAGACGTGCAATCCGTCGCCTGGCTCGAACAATACCTCGTCAGCCAGACCCAGATCACCTGCATGATCGTCTCGCACGACAGCGGTTTCCTGGACAACGTCTGTACCGACATCATGCACTACGAGAACAAGAAGATCGCCTATTACCCGGGTAACCTGAGTAAATTCGTGGAGAAGGTGCCCGAGGCGAGGTCCTACTACACTTTGGCCGCTACCAGCGTCAAGTCAGTATCATGTCAACTGCGAAAGTATAGTTCAGGACGTCTCGCTAACAACGATTACTGTGCCCTCTTTCGCAGGTTCACCTTCCCCCCTCCCGGATCGCTCATGGGTGTGCGATCGCAGACCCGAGCCATCATGAAGCTTACCAACTGTACATTCACTTACGAAGGCGCTGCCAAGCCCAGCTTGATCGACGTCTCGTGTGCGCTGTCATTGAGCAGTCGTGTCGGTATCCTGGGACCGAACGGAGCTGGAAAGTCGACCTTGATCAAGCTGTTGACTGTGAGTCCGAGCCCGCGGTCGCGTCCAGACGCAGGAAGTGGAATGCTAAAAGCACGTTTGGATACCGCCAGGGAGAGACCCTGCCCCAACAAGGAAAGGTCGAGAAGCATCCGGCTCTTCGTGTCGGATACGTCGCCCAGCACGCTTTCCACCACTTGGATTTGCACTTGGAAAAGACTCCCATCGCCTACATGTGAGTCGCGGTCGGCTTGTTATCGGCTCGTTCCATATACTGACGACTGTTTGAGCCCTCGCAGCCAATGGCGATACCAGGACGGACACGATCGTGAGATGCTTTCCAAGGCTTCGCGAGCGTTGACCGAAGAGGACAAGAGGATGATGGACACTGAGATCACCGGCAAGAACGGTGACAAGCGACGGATCGAGCAGGTCCTCGGTCGTCAAAAGCTCAAGAAGAGTTTCCAGTACGAGGTCAAGTTCAAAGGCATGGACCACAGGGTGAGCAATGTCGGTTTTCGTCATCAGACCGTTCAGCGTGCTCAAGTGTTGCCTTCATCACGAACCCACAGCACAACGCCTGGTTGCCTCGTGAGGACCTGATCAAGTACGGATTCCAAAAGCTCTTGACCCAGTTCGACGACATGGAGTCCTCGCGTGAGGGAGCTGGTAACCGAGATCTCTCGGCCAGCGCCATCCGAAAGCTCTTCGAAGAGGTCGGTCTCGACCCGGATATCGCTCAGTACAACGAAATTAGTGGTTTGTCTGGTGGACAAAAGGTCAAGGTCGTCATCTGCGCTGCGCTCATCAATCAGCCCCAGGTCCTCGTCGTGAGTCGATGGTTGTCGAGCAGTCCATTAATCGTATGATACTGATCATGTTATGCCTCTAGTTGGACGAGCCGACAAATTTCTTGGACCGAGAAGCCCTCGGCGGTCTCTCGATCGCCATTCGAGACTGGGCCGGTGCCGTCTGCATCATTTCGCACAACCTCGAATTCGTCAACGCCCTCTGTCCTGAGATCTGGAACGTCGACGCCGGTCGTTTGACCCACATCGGCAAGGTCGCCATTATCGAAGACGCCTTTGACGACGTCAAGCCTTCGCGAGTCGGGAGCCGAATGGGTACCCCTCGAGGAGCTGCCACCCCTGCGAACGGTAGTGGTGTTAACACGGCCGCTACGTCGGCCGCCAACTCGGCTGCACCTAGCGATGCCGAGGGTGTAGCTCAGCCCAAGCTCAAGAAGAAGAAGAAGATGACCCGAAACGAGCAAAAGGCTCAGGAAGCCAGGCGGGCCAAGCGAAAGCTCGATTGGCTGTCTTACGGAGGTCCCAAGCCCGAGGATACCGGTGAGTTCGAAGCGCCGACGGTATTGCAGCGATCAACCACGACTGACCCTGACTCGTCTTTGCAGACTCGGACTAATTTGACGAGCATTGAACGTTACGACCGGCTTAGGATTCTCTTGTACACCCTCGTGTAACTGCGCATGTTCTTTCTGTCTGATTCGCTTTGGGCCGTGACTATACACATAGATGTCTGACTGCATGCTACGAATTCGGGGTTTCTGTTGGACGTTCGCTTCGTTCTGATACAACTTTCGGGACTGGCACGACCATTCAATACTCGAAAACGACTATCAAAGGAGAAGCGAAAAGAGAATACTGGCGCAGGTCAAAAGGGCGAGACCGACAATGGATGACTGAACGACCCCGACGTCGGCGGCATTGTCTCGCGAGTTGCGAGTGCTAGACTTGGTCGAATTGGCCTTGTTGTAGCTGACGACGTTAGGGCAGATGCCAGTGGCAGCAGCGTCGTCGTAGCTCATAAAGACCTGCAGGTGGTACAGTCAGACGATGGGTACGGATGTCAGGTGAATACCGAGTCGCTCACATATGGTTTCCCGCCGGCTCCAGCAGCAGACCACGACACCATAATCGAGCTGTTTGACCCGATGTTGTACACATTGCATTCGAGAATGCTAGTGGAAGCGATGTCAGCTGGAGAGTCTAACGAGATAAAGTCCAGGGAACTCACTTGACGACGGATCCCTTCCAGCCAGTGCTGCTGACACCAATGGAGGCCGGTACGGAAGGGCTGCCTCGCTGCGGAGGACAGAGCCGATTAGCTATGGCGCTCTGTTGACGGATATGGAATGTGTCCTTGACTCACGTTCGTCAAAAAGACCAGAATGGGACCCTTGCGGAACGCTAAATCGTTGTCGTTCCACTCCAAGAAATCAACGTTGTTGTGCAAGAACGTCTTGCCATCTCGTTGAGCGTCCGTGGCGATCAGGAACTTGCGGACCTGATTGAGTCGCTGAATGTTGACGTAGGTTCCCTTGGTCACATCGTAATTGCCACTCTCAGGCGTCCACAAGGCAGGCCGGTTGTACTGTGGTGCGAACAACGGTTAGATGGGTTTATGCACACGCGAAGGTTGGCACTTACCGGATCGCCTCGCCCTTGAAGGTCACCTCCGCCGATTTCTTGTTCGTCGCCATAGAATACGGTAGGGATTCCGTCGCTCATGAACTGCCAAACAAGTGCGTTCCAGGCGGTACGAGGGTCGACTTGCAAGCCATGGTATCGAGGCAAGTCGTGGTTCCCCAAGAAGCTACCGAGCAAGCCGACGTCCTGCAATGTATTCTGCGTCAGTCGTGCGTCGTCGGAACATCATTCGCTGCGCTACTCACCGGGAAAGCTTTCTGGACCTGGGAGTGGATATCAACGAGGTTGGACATGTTCAACGGCGCATCAGGTCGGTTGAAAAAGGCTGCCGCGGCGCCGTAGTACGTGGGGAACTACAAGCCCGAACAGATGGTTAGCAAGAGCCGCCACTGCGAATTTGATGCTGTGACTTACGTTCAACACCGAATCCATATAGTTCAGCGACTGGAACGAAGCCGCTTCGCTGTCAACCCAAACATCTCATAAGTCACAACAACCTGCAAGCGCAATGTCTGCGCCGGAAACTCACGCGATGTCGCTGCCATACACCTCGCCGATACAGAACACGCCTGCGGACGCGCAGAACGGCTGCCAATACTCGGGTCGGACGTGCTTGGCGGCTGCGAGGGTCGCGACCATGATATCAGCTGAGCTACCTCAAAGCGTCCGGCACGTGGGGACTCACCATCGATTCTCAACCCGTCCACGCCAAACTCGGTGACGAAATCGTGGATCCACGTCTGCAACGTCTGGATGACCTCGACATTCTCCGTGTTAACGTCGGCGAGTGGGAGCTTGTCGTCGCCCATCCAGCTGAGACCAGATTGGAGCAACGTCAGTCGGTTGCGCTCTCGATGTGAGTCGAGTGACTACTCACCACACCTCCACGCTAGTCGTATTCCCGTAATCCATCGGACACCTCGGATGATACTGCTCAACCTTGCGCCACAACAAGTCCGGGTTCAGATCGATCATCTCCTGGACGGTCGGCGCCGGGTTGGCGACGACGTGGTTGACGACAATGTCGACCATCAAGAACATGCCGCGTTTGTGCAGTTCGGCCGAGAGGGCGAGCAAGTCGGCCTTGTCACCGAATCGAGGGTTAAGCTGGGTGGTGTCCTGCAAGGATATCGGGATTTCTCAGCTTCGAGTTCTCCTTGTACAAGCTACCAAATCGGAGCTGACCTCGATCCAATAGCCATGGTAAGCCGCCCCATAGGCCGTCATCGTGTCGATATTCTCTACAGAGACCAAGGCGTATTTATCAGTCGGATTTATTTCATCTCGCACAAAATCACAAGTCGCGGGACTTACTGCTCGTAGGCCTGCAATTCACGGAACAAACAAGAACGAAACGCCACGTGTTCAGTATCGTTCAAGAAGTACAGCATCTTGTCATGACAAGAGGACGGGCGACTCACGAAATCCAAATCGCATCGAAACCCATACCCTGGATATAATCCAGCTTGTCGACGATACTCCGATAAGTCCCGCCACACCAACTAGACGCGCCGGCGATGCCCAAAGGAGATTCTTCTGTCAGCTCATCTCTCCCGGCAGGTAGTAAAATGGTCGTTATGAAACACGGAGGGGAACTTACTTCTGGGTTCCAGCCGGACAAGGAGCCGTCCCATCCTCCGGGATCCCTGCAGTCAAAGCAGGCGCGGTAGATGAGGGTGGTGCGAAGCGGTCCGTCATCAACCTGAACAGCGAACACGACAGGATCGGCAGGCAGGGTGGAAGCGTGATAGAGAGAGGTATCGTTCTGGTCAGCTTTCTCTCTCAAGCCGAGATGGGAATGACGTAAAGTCTGCTATCATACCCATCCCACGCGGACGAGAAAATCAGGCGCAAAAAGGGAAAAGAGAGGGGCTCACTGATAAATACTCCGACTCCTCCACTCGTCCTTCGAAGCCGCTTTTACTCCTTGGGCGTTCAAGACGAGTGCGAGCAACGCGAGCAGGGGGAGCAGCAGGAGTGAGTGGGGCGAGCGAGGTCGAGTCTGAGGGGTGAACATTTGTCGGCTTGCTCGGCGGGACCCTGACGAGCTCGGAGCCTCGAGAAAAGAAGAAGCGGTCGGTCCGCAGGTGGGAATTCGGCCAAGTCTGGATTCTGATTGAGTGGACATGATCCCGAGTTCTCGATAGAGGTGTGGTTATTGTTGTAGTGGTGGTGTGGTTATGCTCGATGCGGGTTCGGTTGATCGTATTATAGTTCTAATAGCCGTCGCCGTTGTCGTCGCTGTTCTCGAGGTCGATGCCGGTAATGCTGATGTGGATGCTCTCAATGATGCTGATGCTGATGCCCGAATGTGCTAGTCGATTTTGATTATATATGTAAAGTCGTATGGTATGGATTCCCGAAATGAAGTAAAGATCGAGTCAAGTCGAGTCGAGTCGGCCCAAGAAAATGGAGGACTCGACGAAGAGGTTCCCCCTAGAAAGCGTTTATCGTTGTTGGTAGTGTGTCGTAGAGGTTGTTATGTTGCGTTATCGTGTGATTGTGTTAAACGAGTGTAGAGTCAAGCGAATGTGAATTGCAGAATATCAAATGACGAGATATGGTGGATGGTGGATGGTGGATGGTGGATGGTGGTAGAGTATGCCGGTCGGGCGTAGTATTCCGTTGTCGGGAGATCGAAATGAGGTGTAGAGTATCGTTACCCCTCAGGTGCCGACGTCCGATGTTCGATGTCCCAAAGTAGGGCTTGATCACGATCTAGAACTCGATCCGGGTAGCTTGATATGATAGGGGTAAATCTCCGGTTGGTCGATCGTTTGATGACCAAGAAGGCCGGTTGATCAAATCCAGATCGTCGTCTAGCTTGTCGAGCTTGTGGGATTGCCGGGATGCCGGGTTTGTCGAGTACTATCTTCGAGGAAGAGAACTATCTCGATTTCGATCACACTCTGATCACTTCGACGACTCGGTTTCTGCGGTGGACGGTGGATGAAGTTGATAATAGGGGTCGATAGGGGTCGACTTGGGGGGGAGTGCCGGCTCGGTAAGTTCTGACGAAGAGGGACTGTCGAGCGAAGAGCAGAATTCGGAAAACGTGCAAAGGTGGTGGGGGAAAAGGAGTGTGGTAAAATAAAGCGAGTGTGTGGGTTTGCTGAACGAGCGTAGTGTATCGTAGTTGGTAGTTGGTAAACGAGTGTGTAATGTGTTGGAGAGTCGATGAGTCGAGAGTGTAAAGTAGAAGTAGAAAAGAAGGGAAAGGCCAAAGGAAGTCTACTCCGGGGGGAAGTGGCGAAAGTGATGCTCGAAGTGATGATGATGGAATATAAGTAAACACCCACCCCCTAGCTCCTAGGGTTCTAAGCGATCAGAGATCAAAAGTCCCATTTCGCCATCAAATCAATCCCTCCCGCTCATCGGCCGTCGGTGTGCTGGTGCGCTGTTGTTGATGGTCGGTGTTGGTTGGTTGTGATGTCGCAGCGCCATCGAAGAATGGACGATCAGATCCCGTGACACAACAAAGCCCCGTAGCGCCCGGTCTGAACCTGCCACATTGCAGGGGTGTTGAGCAGGACGGGGCCTGTTCCAGTGGATAGAGTTTCAGGCGAAGGGGGTGGCGTAGAAGCAGGAAGTTGTGGGGAACCGCCTTCGAAGAAGCCGGCAGGGGATGAGGGGGGGGTTTGTTGTTGTTGTTGTTTGGTTGTTTACGTTTTGGCGTTTTCGGACTCCTTGGCGCCTGTTGAGGTTGCGGGGCAACGCGTCTTTGCGGTCCCGTGATCCAAAGACCAGGGATCTCGATGGCAAAGGACCGCATGGCGCATGGATCCACCTCTGGGCCCGCGTGGACTTTCGGGGAATATCTGACTGGATGGCCGAGAATTGCCGATGTCCCATGCCGAAGAAAATGACGGCATAGATGACGGCATGGCGAAAAGTCTCAGGTCAATCTGGTCAATAATGCACCTTGACATCATCAACAACATCGGCCTGATCCATTTCGACCTCGAACGTAATCTGGTCCGAATCGCCTGCTAAAGATCACACACTCCCGTACATAGCTCGCAATAAGAACTGTCGTCTCAATCGATTAACGACGTCAGCTTCGCTCTGGAGATACAGAGCCGCACCATATCGGCCGACCTTCTGCCGGCAAGAGCGATCACGACTAGCATCAGCGTTATCAGCGGCATCCCTACAACCAGCACCAACCCTGACCCCGGCCCCATCATCAGTATTATACCCAAACGAGCATGCCCACAACAACGTTTCCTCTCGCACTCGCTCCACTCCCAGATACTTCATCATCCACCTCGGCACTCTACCTCCGACTAGGGCTGCTGGAAGACCTCCTTTCTCAACCAACTCAATTACGAATACCGGATGAGACTACAATCAATTCAAAAAAAGGAGATGTGGATGTACCGCCTCGGCCGGGGCAAGACCTAACTTCCCGCCTAGAAGCTCTAGAAAGAGGCTTGCAAGACTTGATCAGAGGAAGCGGGAGCGGGAGTGGGAAGGAGGGGTTGAGGAGGTTTGTGGATCGGTGTAAGTCTGCGTGTTTTGCTTATTTTCTTTTTGTTTGGGGGGTGGTTTATTGGGGTTCGTATTGGATGAAGGTGGGGAGGCTGAAATGGGAGCGGGAGCGAGGAGAATGAGACGAAAGACGGGAGGACGAGACGAGGGCGAAGAGGATGAGACGGGGCTGAAATCGAAGCTGAGAGTGTGGAGGACGAGACTGAGATTGAAGATGAGACGAGAGCGAGAATCGAATCGAGACGAGACGAGGGCGAAGAGGATGAGGCGGAGGTGGTATCGAGGTATCGAGGTTTCGAGGTTGAAGACGAGAGTGGGGAGGATGGGGCGAGACTGAATGGCCTCGAGGTTGAGATGAGAGCGAGATTGCGATGAGAGTGAGGAGGATGAGACTAGAGTGATATCGAGTCCGAAACCAGGTTGAATGACATTGAGAATGTGACGAGAACGAGAATGTCATCGGAGTTGAGACCAGAGCGAGAATGACAGTGAAGATTCAACAAGCTGACACCTCGTCTGCTCTTGAAACTCGGTATGGTCTCGGTATGCGTCGGGATACTGTAGTCGATTCAATTCAGGTCCTGCTCAGGCACGTCCCGGACCCCCGGACGACCACCCCCACGCTCACTTCCATAACGTCCAACACCGCCATAAACACCACTGACTCGGCAGGCACACAGCCTGGGAACTCGGTCGATGCCAACCTCGATCCCTCCTTCTCGACTACAACCGCGATCCCGGCGATCTCGACAGAGACGAAACTATCCCTCGTCCTCCCGTCTTCCCAGACGCTTCTTGCTATTCCGGCTCAGTACACGGCTTTGAGAGCGTTATTGGATCGGGGCGTGGATGGAGCTGGCGAGTTGGACAGATACTTCTCAGGCCCACCCGGGGGCAGTTCGAGCCGGAAAGTCGGCGGGGCCGCAGAGAATGTCTCCGATGACAATAAGGAGAAGGTAGAGAACGGGGTGGAGAGAGAGGAGCAGGTGGATGTAGGACAGCGGATCAGGGCTATCCGACGAACGCTCGATACGAGGAACTTTGGCACCATGCCATCAGTGCCACCAAAGGAAACGCAATCAGTTGGACCGAAAGTCGGGAACACGATGCGTCGGGAGGAGGTCGGAGACGGAGATGCGGCTGGTCATGAGGAAGGAAAAGGAGCTAGGGCGCAGAATTTGCGGAGGGTCGGGGAGGTTTTGGGGAGGTGGGATGCGTTCGTGAGTCCCCTTTTTCGGTCGACTTGTGTCTCTTTTTCGTCTTCGGTGTTCTGCCGTAGGCTCGGCTGCCCGAGATTATCGCTCCAAGCCGGGTGCCAGGGTTGCGATTCGCATCACCGAGCAGTTCGGGACGGTTTCGGTAGGAATCAGTCGGCTTGGGCCTAGCAGGAAAGATCTGGGCAAGATTAGGCATCAGAGATCGTTTGCGAGCGGGTTTCCGATGCGGGATAGGTTAGCCGGAAAACGACCGGAGGGAGATCAGCAGTCTGGTCGAGGTCGAACCTTCGAGATGTTTGACTGGGCGTATCACAATGGGATTGCGGATGGCATTCGCCATGAGACTAAGAGGATCCGATAGAGCCGGTCCCAAAAGCGGGATTTGGGTGAGAAGCCGATCTGCGGAAAGAAAGGGTACCGCCGCGTATCAATCAATACTCTGGAGCATGAACCTCAGCTAAGGCGTAAAGATAGGTTCCATATGCACGAAGAAGAAAGTTGAGTTTGGATCGAAGTTCGAGGCGAAAGGAATCGGCAGAGGAGAATCACGAGTCTGAAGCATATTCATCACCGCGAAGCTCGATTGCAAGAGAGCTTCAGACAATGTGTGAGAGACCATCTCCTCAAGCTTTGCGGGAGACAGCTACTTCTGTATCCGAGAACATTCGGCTCGTAGAAGCCATTTGCCAAGTCACCAGAACGGAAAGGGTGCGACGAGCGGGGATCACCGTCGATGCCATTTGACCAGGAAAACACGAGATTTTCAGAATGTGCTGTACGTGACACTTTGGCAAGACAAGAAGCTAAACACGGCATGTTCTTTCCTCTTCCTGTTCACTCCATCGATCTCAACGACCTGGTATCCGACACGCTCCCGCTTATCACCCGCTCGCCCGTCCTCTTTGGAATGACCTCGATCTGGTGTCTTGTCGCTTCGCGATAATGCCGGAGCAGATCAAGGACTCGTCCCAGATCTTCCTCAACTTGCATCAGACGATGACCGATCTGGAGCGAGCCGTCGAACGAGCGGAACGCGTCAGGGGGATCGAGCTGTAGATGCGCGGGCGTTTGGGCTGAGGTCTGGCCGATCATCGAGCTTGGCGGATCTCCCCGGTGAATATTGCAGAATCACGGTTGCCTAACGAAGAACTGTCGGCAAGACGGATCAATCTCACGAAATGACGGAAGAGGACGGGCTAAAGTGAATCGGACGACCACGACGACGACAAGTAACGCGGACACAGAGCCTGCTCTAAATTTTGGCGTTCAGCATGACCTTATGACAATTTACGAAGTCCGCTTCAGCTAGCTATTGCAAGGGCCTGAACAGAAAGATTTTCTTCTCTATGATATGGAACTGGAGCGAGATACAAGTGATGGGGCAAACTCTACACTGGACAGCCGAAAGGAGCCGGTGTTCAAGTCGGTGGATCAAAGATCGACTCTCCTTCGAGGTCCTCAGACTTCCACAAACGCTGAAACATTCCGATGTACTCTTCGATCGCTTTGCTGCCCTCGTCTGCACTGTAAACCCTGCGTTCTACGTGATGGGGTTTCAATGGGTCACAACTGCAGCTATGTACGAAACAATGGTGAGACCCGTCGCGGCAAGAAGTGTTCCTGCAGATGGCTATGATCGCTTGCTTCACACAGCTGCAAGCTTGACGCATAGTGCTGGAATCACTGCGGTTGCCGAGTCTCGCTGCTTCGACATCGAATGCGGCTTTGAGTATAGTCCGCAAGAAACCATAAGCTCTGGACAGTTGGTATTCCAGTGAAAAGGGCTCCGTCCCTGACCAATCTCTTTTCGCCTTTTCCAACGTGTTTTTATAGGTTCTGAGCGGAAAGATGATTGAGCTCTGTGGATCAAAGCTCTGCGGATTGCTTTCGATTTTCAGAGACAGAGCCTTTGCTTTATTCGGCAAGCTTTCCAGCAACCGTTCCACCAGCTGCACTGTGCTATGAAGCATGTCGCTTTCAGACTGATGACCGGATGGCGAGGGAATTGAAGGGAAAGATCGAAAGGAGGACTGATTGGGCGATAGAAATTGGTTGTAGTTGAGGGAGTCTTGCCAAGACGATACTCCACCAGAGTTGGTGTGCGATCTGCTGTTGCCGTCGTAGCTGCTCGTGGTATACACAAGATTTGATTTAGCGCCGTGACTTTCGTGACTCGGTCGATACGTGCCATGTCTTACCCGCTTAGCTGTCTGTCAAGATGGTGATCATCATCGACAGGCGGTAGAAAACCGTATCTAAACGGGGTCAGAGTTGCGCAGCTTGCTTGCTACGGAGAGATTATCTCACTCGTAGAGTGGAGTTAACTTACTGGTGAGGTTCCGCGATGGAATATCGGTCTGCGTTCGCGCTGAAACTATCATCGGCCTGAGCTGCAGTGGCGTCCGCGATAGCGTTCGTGAGTATCGCGGTGCAGTGGTTCTCGAACGTGTTGCATATGTTATCAAGCACGGTCATCCAGTTCGCTTCGTCTAACTCTTGCTGGACAGGCAACTTATGCTTCCCGCAGAAGCAAGCATGGTGTTGATTTTTCCCCTCGACGATAGCCCGCACGACCGGGATTCTTTGTTGCGAGCACAAGCAAGCGGACTTGATCTGCTTTATCGTTTCGAAGATCTCGTCCGGATCGGTTTCTGTTAGAACCGTCCAGTGAAGAGTGAAGCGCGCTCGAGTCAAGTCCTCCGTTAATCGGAAAGCCTGTTCAGGAAAACCGCCGGGGTTGGACTGCCATTGTGGACCTCTAAAATAGTCGTTGCATTGCTGTCGGCGGAACTCGACGATATTTCGCTTTACTTTCACTTTGTCGTTGTCACCCAAACGTTCCATGAGTTTAGACAGTCCAAAAGTATTGTCCTTCTGGATCCCATCACCAACATTCATTGATGACGTTGGTACAAGACCCGATGCTCCGCTAGTGTCGATTGTGCGGTTGCTGCGACTGAAGGGTTGTGTACCGACGCTGGAGCAAAGGTAGAGGGGGTTTCGTCAGCTTACACTTTATGACGGATATAGATGTAAGATGAAATCGACATTTACCTCTGAAACCAGGATTGGCCTCCAGAAGATGCGTAGTTTGAAAGCAAGTTTCCGGTACCCGATGCATTATCGGCATTGTTGTGATGCCATGACATGATTGGGAATTCTGACAGACGATATCAGGGAAGTGCGAGGATTTTGAGCCGAGACATCTGGATGATACCCACCGGAAAGACTCACTGAACGGTCATAATATATATAGGTGATCAAACTGAAAGGAGGAGCAAATTCACTGCCGGCATGCGGTCGACTATGGTGTGACCCACAAACAAAGGAAGACTCTCGCCGGTCATCTGACTCTATTGATTTCACCGCATTACGGCCGCACTAAATCCCTTGTCCCTGCCTTATCATCAGCTCTGCCTATCGCAACGCTGCTTGATGAGACAGCAAGAGCGTCTACTGAAACAAGGCGAGTGGCCCAGAGCGCGCTAGCGCGCGATTGGCGCAATCGAGAAGCTCGACTCGAGAGTACGCTCAATCCGCTAATCTCGTTGCTTGTACAGATCATGATAGAATCGCCAGTAAGCAGTCTTTCTAGGCTTATTATCGTGAAAGCCGAACACATCAGTGACTGCCTTCAATGATAGGTATATGGCTTATATTGTTCTAGGGGGAAACAGATATCAATTGCCGAAGAGCTATTTCTCGAAGACCTGGATCTGCCCTGTACCTCGAGGATGTTTCGGTATAGGATTTGATAGTGGTATGCAGTTAGCATGAATTTAGAGCAGCGCAGAAACGGACTGCCTGCAATGTGGAAATGTGTCGAAATCAAACTGAACCGACAGCCGTGTCCATCGTCAAACCCCATCGACAGGGAAACACACGCGACCCCTTTGTTAAGAGAGAAACAGCCTTATCTGACCCAACAGAACAACAATAAGATATACATGAATAAATCATAGATAGAGTATGTTCAAGTTCGATCCGACAGCGGTAGAACGCAGATCACGCGTGTTTGCCAAGTTTGTGCAGAAACGACAGAGTTGTATGGGTCCGTCATAACCAGGTCTCCTCGTCAAGCAACAATTGGTGAAGCTGACGATAGGCTTCCACACATTGAATCTGTCCTTGTGCGGCATCTGTCAAGGAGATCACCTTGTTCAGAAGTTGTGCATGCCTTGGAGGGCCTGGCAACTCAGAGCAAGTGCATTCGTGCGGACGGACTTTGCCCTGTTGTAAATTGTTGCGAAGCCTGGATATCCTTTTGCTGGTACATTTGACGACATCGATGAGGATCGAGTGGGCTTTGAAAAGATCACTATTGTCGACCAATGCCGCTTTTCCCATCTCCAGTCGCTCCCCCTCGTAGGCAAAAGCCCTGTGGTAGATCTTGCTGTAGATGCGAACAGCAGCTTGGCCCCGTGTCCTTTCGAGCCCAGTCCTAACTTCCAACCAGTTTGCCACACCCGCGTCACCTCATCCTGCACCGCTCGGTACAAAACGTGCAGCTGTTCGGGAATTTTGTCCAGTGGCACAAGCTTGTTTGTCATCTCCTGCAGCAGTATGTCCATTTTCTCAAAGACAGATTGTGGGGCATCGTTGGCAGCGAACGAAGCATCATTCGAGGTGCCAGATAAGCCGCTGGCACCCAATGTTGGAGCGCTATAGGTTCCCACAGGGGAACTTGACCACTGTGATTGTGTTCCCGTCGCCATTGCTTGTTCCTTCAAAGACTTAGCTCCCTCAAGACTGCTCATGAGACGAAATATTGTTCCCTTCAGGCGTCCCATGCTGTAATTGAACGCACATATAGTGCGACTTACCTGAATGAGATCTTTGTTTGGTTCCTGTATGTAGCGTAAGACAGTCGGAGCAGGAACCTCACAATCAGTAATGCCCTGCAGTATGTTAATGCCTATCTTGACTATGGGCAACTCACGTCTTCACTGATGAAACGACACTTGGGCCTGTATAAACGCTATCATCCTCCTCCTCCTCGTTGATGATCCGCTTTCCAGTGGCCTAGAATTTACCAGGACCGTCAAGGATGAGCGACATAGACAAAAGCTGGGAGAGATTCTCTTGTCAGAACACAATATGACTCACTGATCCACGTATATATTCTTGGTTGTCGGACATTGGTAGCGAATCTGATGAGGTGTTGCGCTGACTCAGTGATTTTTGAGGAGGGAAGGTACGCCTTACAGTTCTTCAATCGATCAAGGTATAACAAGTACTCTACGAAGAGAGAAAGAGAGGGTCGTCGATGCAGCTATATATATCTATATATACTGTGCCCGGAGCATAGACAAAGGAAGTAGACCCCTGCAATGGGAGAGGCGGTTTTCGCCGTGACAGATGATGCGATCGTATCACGTACGACCTCAGAAAGGAAGTAGTCACGCCAATAGCGCAACACCTGAGGGTGGTGGGAATACAACGACTGACGCCACCTAGTGCAATCAAATGGTATAATGATTGCGCGATCTTGCGCTTGTCTCAGCAAATTCAAGTCAATCGCCCATGTCAAGCGAGGGCGATACCATCGACAAGTCTCCTTCCCTTTCTTCTGTCGCTTATTTGCACAAACTAGACAGGTTGTTGCAATCAGCCGGTAATCTATATCTGATGAGGGGCAACGATGGAATAAATGAACCTTGAGACGAGCGACGAAGGTATCCTGGACAAATTCAGGATTCAACACAGAGTGCCGGTCCAGATCGACTCTTCCTCCCTATGCGCTAAGCGACCAACATATAAAGCCTTGTCGAATGGCGTGCCGGGAGCACAAAGGATCGCAGGAATAAGGTGATCGGCGTCAGCTGATTCAACTGTCAGAGCATCTGACAGTCAGATGACGCTATTTCTTATCAATGGCATCATTTCGATACTCTTCTGAGATCTGAAAGACTCACGGCCTACTGCGACAAATCGTCGTATTGCTGATTCGGTGATGGACAGGAAGACCTCTTCGGGAATTAAACAGCACATGGTTCGCAAATGCCCACGCGCGGGGGGATCTCAGAGTGTCCATGCGATGATTGCGCCTGGTAGACCCCTAATCCCTAAGGACGGGTTGTGTCAATCTATTCGAAGCGAAAGGTTCGGAAACGCCGGTCTTCTAAAAAAGGTACTGGGATATCGCAGTTCACCTTTACAGATTCCCTGGTAAAATCGTACGTGACGGCGTTTGGGGCGATGATCATCGTGCACGGAGCAATAACAGAACTAGAACATATCGATACTAGTATTACAAATCATTTTTCTACGGTTCTACTGACGACTCGCCATTCTGTATCCTGGGATCCGTGCCTTTCTATGTTGGTATGTCTCAGTGTGAGACAGTAATATCACCCTGTCTCCCTGTCTTCCAGGTGGCTCCGAGTCTCGATTGTTACTTGAGGTACCACTTCGAGCTCTTGTCGACAAGCATCGAACACAACATGCATCTGCGCCAGGATAGTGCCGAAATCACAAGATAACGGGGCCTTCGAATGAACAAGCCCAAGCATGCATTCACATCCGAATGCTCTGCCGTGTTGAACCTGCTGACCCGCCTGTAGGAAGTTAATCCTTACGATTGAGCAGCTACAGGCTGCTTTCAGCTCTTCAAGCCTATGCCTGAGAGGAGAAAGAGCGGATGAATCGATTCCTATCGCCAGGCTTGCTTTCCACAGCCTGATGTATGACCGGTAAGTGGATGCAATTTCATCTACTGCATCTTTCTGTCGAAGGTCCCGGGCGCTCGATGTGTTCAGCGCGCAGATTCTGTCGAATCGTAGTCGTAATTCCATCATGCATGTCTGTTGCTTTGATGAAAAGGATGCACCGGGTACTCCGAGGTCTGTAGAAGGGAGACCAAGCTCGACTATCCCAGCGAGAGACTTCCTGACTTGCTCGAAGTCGAAATCATTCTCTATGACAGGATTCTCATCGTCCAGCAAGCGGTCAGCCGTAGAATGGCCAAGGACAGAAAAGTCGCTATCCGTAATGTCCAGAGTCGAGGCCGTTTCGGCTGAAATCGATCGACTGGACTGTTCCATTGTGTCCTCACTGTCAGAATTACCTACGGGCCTCGTCAATTCTTCATGCAGGTGCTCTCGGAATTCGACGAAGGTCTGCTGCATTTTCAGCGCACATTCGATCGGGCCAATAGTTCTGGCCGCGATGTGAACATGTCCTCCACATCCGCATCTATAGGCCTCCGGATTTTTCTTCGTGTAATTCCACCTCAGCTTGCCTAGTCGTGCCCTGGTACACGTTCCATATTTCTTTCGGACAAGGAGGGATGTCTGTTGGTGTTGGACGTCCCCTTTTTCGATCAAGCAGTCAAGAATTGCAAGGTTGACGTCAAGAGCGGCTTCTAAGACCTTCCATATGGCATCACCCAGCCCGATGATGAGGTAACGCGGAGTGTGGTGATCTTGAACGTTCCAATGCAGCTTGTTGACCCCTAAGGTACATCCTCTTTCAAGAGCCCTCTGAGCCTTCGCACCGTCACGCCACGGCCCAAACCTGAACTTCGTTTCGAAGGCTAGCTTGTTACCGCGAACGTATCCCTCCAGGGACGACTTGAGATGCTGCACGACTTGAGCTTCCGTAAAGTTCCAAGCTAGATCGATGTTCATGTACGATTGGAAAGAATGGTCGAAGGCAGATGTATGAGATTCAGGCGCAAACGATGTATACGGATCGGCAGATGAGGGCTCAGCAGTATTGATGCTCGCTTGGTAAGGAGCCTGTATGCCACTGTGATTGGGACAGTTCAGCATGGCAACGTACAGATTATACTTTCGATTCTATAGATGACTGACCTTGCAGACCCCCTGAAGATATGTCTATCCCCTGTAACCGACGGCTCAGAAGCATCGAGGTTCCGATCATCTACCATTGTCGCGATCTCGTCCCACGGGTCGTCTCCACCTTGTATCACTTTCCTGCTATCACTTGCAGCAGAAATGAAAGGGTCGAACTTATCTGGATCGATCGGCCGAAGGGGAGACATGCCCGAGGCAAATACGTCTGAATCTTCAGGCTGTTCTGGAAAGGAGGATGAAGCACCAGAGTTGATCGAACCGGCTTGACGTTGCGACCTGAAGGGGGATGACATTGTTGCTGAATTGTTTACTGTAAGTGTCTATATAAAAACCGGTAACTGATACAAAAGAATATGACGGGCCTCCTGCGTATATATTGTGCATATATACTGTCGCTAAAATAAGGCAGAGATAGAACGACAAAGGAAGTTTATCAACGCTGTACTAGAGTAGAGGGTGGAAGCATATACCAGGCAATATGGTCCTATACTGACGCAAATACACTCAAAGGAACGCCGTCGTGTCGCGATATCATGTGATGCGACATCATGCTTATGAGCGCACTAAATCCCTGTTCCTCATCAGCAATCGCTATCTAGCTAGGTTATTACTAAATAACGAATCGGGTCGTGACCATGTCATCGCAATCGCGCGTGTACGCTAGGTTTCATCGAACTGAATCGAGTTGCAGTGGGTCGGGGCTGTTGAGTTCGACTGGATATGGAGCAGGAATACTTGAATGAAGCAAGACAAGATGACAAGTCAGAATGCTACGTGCTTGAGAAAGATTATCATTGAATTGCTACCTCACAAAGATGTCTATTCTCATCCCTTTCACGACCGCCACAATTGAGTTCGTTATCGTTGCGATCGTCAAAATTAGTGGCTGCATCGCGCCTGCGATAGCTTCACAAGCGCAGCCCCGTTGCACGATATCGGCTGATCAGATTCAGAATTACTCGAGTACAAATGAGACAGAACAACCGATTCTGACGTAGAAATTTGGGCCTCATGGAAGAGGAAAGATCCTCTGAACGCAGGCGGTGGAGAGCGAACGACCGTTGAAGTTTCATCTCATGAAACCCTCCAGTATTTACTCCCCGACTCGAATTATGCTTCCGACCGAGTGATGACTCATCACCTCGACCTGCTCCACTCCCGAACCAGGTCGACATTTCTCAACCTGTTCATTCAACCTCTTCGTCTCTATCATCTGTTCGATATACAACACAGCACCACATAAAAGACCATGCCAGCTACACGTAGTTCATCTAGGATCGCATACACCTCCCTCTTCCCGGTGAAGAAACCCGGGCCGGCGGGGTCTCCTATGAAGAAGAAACGAGCTACAGCGGAGGATAAGGACGTACCGGTGGCTAAACGATCAAAGTCAAGTCCCACTGTCAAATTATCACCTACGATCCCAAAGGTTGTACAAGTCGCAGTCTCCGACTCGAAAACGCCGAATGAAGCCAAACCTCTCCCGATGTTCAACCTAAAACCAGCTCACTTAGACCCTACCCGGGTCATACCCGCCAACCTCGGGTTCGATTTCCAACAAGCCAAGAGACATCTGATAGGAGTGGATCCGAGGTTCGGGAAGGTCTTTGAGACACTGGCTTGTAGCCCTTTTGAGGATCTGGAGAGTGTGGATCCGTTCAGGTGAGTCTTGGTTCGGTATAGTCTAGCTTCGGCTGGGGGATGGCGGCTTTGGCGATGGATTTTGTTCGAGTAGGAGCTGAGAAGTGAATATACGGAGTGGAAGCTGACGAAAATTTCTTACCTCTGTGATTCTGTCTTTTCCTACCTTCTTTTCCCTCTCCCACCTCTTTATCACATCTCGATCTTCTCCTCGTATCACCAACCCTTGCCTAACCCCGAACCCCATTTCCCCCAACCTCCAACCTCCAACCTTCAACCTCCAACCTCCAACCTTCCACCTCCAACCTTCAACCCGACCGAAATACAGATCACTATGCACCTCGATCATAGGCCAACAAGTCTCATGGGTAGCAGCCCGGGCGATCAATCACAAGTTTAGGAGGTTGTTTGATAGGGGTCTGCCGGAGAAGGTTAATACGGGGAGTGGTGCGGGAGGTGATTCGGGAGGTGGTGCGGGAGGTGGTGAGGGCGAGGGGGGGTTGGATGGGTGAGTTATGGCTTTAACTCTCTGGAGATCTCGATTTCGATCTCGATTTCGATGTCGGTTTCGATCGAGTTTGTGCGATGTGTACTCTCGGACCCCGATTGCGGAGCTCTGGGCTCACACGAAGAATTACGGGAAGATTGACGCTGGTGACCCTCTTTCTCTCTTATATCCTCAATCCCGCCCTCTCACCTTGTTACTCTATCCTCTTATCGGTATACCGTATAATCATACTCATCACGATTCAACCTGCGCTATTCGACCGTTTATGCGGGCAGCGAGAAGAACTCGTTCCCAGCCCCTGAAGATGTCTTGAGGCTATCTGTCGAGCAGTTACGGATGGCTGGGTTGAGCGGGAGGAAGGCTGAGTATGGTGAGTGGTCTGGTCGATCTCTCTTTGCGAGAGAATTCTTCTCGGGGTAGATGCATCCCCCTTGTATCTCTCTCTGCTTCTGTTCGACTTGATCGTGGAGCGATTTCGAGCCCGTCGGTCACCCTGACTGACTTTATGAACACTCTTTTCCCATGAACCACAACTCGACTCTGATTTCCACTGGAACTCTCCGACGCGGCTCAATATCAACACCTCACGATATGGGCACAATACCATATGTTAGTTCTGAGCCTAGCAGAACATTTCAGATCCGGCCAGCTGTCAACGGAGTTCCTCGCTACGGCAAGTGTAGAAGAAGTATCCAAGGCTCTGATCGGGGTTAGAGGGATTGGGCAGGTGAGCGAATTTCTCTGCGGTAAATCTTATACACATGCTGATGTGGAATTGGGGATCATGTTTGATCGCCTTTTCGATATGACATTCACCTCGGGCGGGTTGGTAGTGGACGGTAGACATGTTCCTCATCTTCACACTCCGACGCCCGGATATTAGTGTTGGCAAAAAGTGAACGCGTTCACTGAACGCGTGTCGAACGCGTTCATTTCGTATCCGCGGTGCGTGAACGTGAACGTGAACGCATTACGTCAGCGCGTTCATGAACTTGAACGCTTACGTCACCGCGTTCGCGTTCACTGAACGCTGAACGTCTAGCGCATCTCGGCATAGCGTGCCGGCAGCGACCTGCGCTTCTACGGGGGAGTAGCCATGGACGCTGACTCGCCGTTTGCGCGCAATTCGGGCAAAAAAACATCGCCTGAGAGGCAGAGGCGGGGACCGAACTCATGCGCGTTCATCCGTTCATGACCGAAGGTATGAACGTGAACGCCGACTGAACGTGCTAATGCGTTCACTATGAACGCGTTCACTGAACGTCGCGTTCATACGTTCAAAATCACGCGTTCAAACTTTCACGTTCAGACGTTCACGTTCATTTTTTGCCAACACTACCGGATATACTCCCCGTAGGCGAATTAGGCATCTAGAAGGGACTCTTGAAGTGGATCTTGGCGGCCCATGAGCATACTATTCCGGTCACGCCCTCAATTGACATCGGGAAGGGCAAGGGAATCCATGGGCAAGATTCGTCGATCATCCCAGCTCCAGCTTTGGACCCGGACCCGGAGGCCGTCCCGCCTCCTCCTACCTCGATCGCCTCGAGACCCGGCGAACCGGTCAAACAGAAAAAAGCCGAACAGAAGGGCCTGGAGAAAGCTTTGCTGAGCTTGGACGTCCGGCCGGATGAGGCGAAGTTGAGGGAGATGTTCCCCTTGCCTGAAGGGATGGACGTGGGTCTGCTCCGTTCGAGGTTAGGGGGGAAGTATTATAGGCGTCACGTGACGCGCAACCTACGGTGCGCGTCGCCTCGGGGTCTCGTTCGGAGACCCTCTCGGAGACCTTTTAGGAGATGTTCTCGTAGACGTCTAACTAGTACCTTGTAGTAGTTAGACATCCGTTATTGCATCGCTATGCCTACCGTTACCTTTCCCCAGTCCCGCGACCTTATTACCCCAAGACCCGGCAGGTCGGTGTTACGGCGGAAGTCGCTTATCGAGATAGGTCCTAAGTCGTAAGGCGTAGGGTGCTTATAGGTGAATCGCAGGTAGTCGGGAGAATGTCGCAAGTCCGCTTAGATGAAGCGGATTCGGATAAGGGGTACGAATCCAGAGATATATGGATAAGGAAGGTGATCACTCGGTGTGAGGTACCGGATTCGGTCTAAGGTAAATCGATGAAACGTAGATACTTAGCGACGTCCTTGAGTTTGTAACCTCTCCGCAACACGTCTTGAAGATGTTGTAACAAGTCAGATAGGCGTGTATTGAATGTGATATCGGAACTTGACCTCTAACTATTACAGAGCGTCCTCTATCGAATTCGGTCAAGTTCCTCTAGCTATTTATACGGAGACGAGTACGGAGACGAGGCTGGCGAACACTGAAAAGACCCAAGAGAAAAGAATGGCGAGAGATGGCGAAACTGGAAGAACGAGATGGCGAACAGACGAATCCTGTCGAGAGCAACCGGATTCGGTAGAGGAGGCGAGTTTGAGTTCTCATTTGTCCCTAGGTACGTCGAGTAAGGTTGTCGAGGTCCTGAGTAGAGTTGTCGTGTACCTCGAGGTCCTTGTACCTGTGTGTGATGTGTACCGGGAAGGTATTGTTGTTTCGGTGAATGGTGAAGGCGAATGGTAGGGGACGACCGAATCTGCTCCGAGGGAATCGGATTCGCCTCGTCGAGCCGGACTTAGGTGTATGCTGATGTCCGTAGATCTAGCCTGTGTGTCGGTAGTCGACTCACGTGATGATCCCGTAACAGTATATCCCCCTCCGGAATGGCGCGCCCCGAGCCATCGTGTTTCAAGTATTGATCGCATCAATTTGTTTGATGATTGTCTACGACGCGTTTGTTTTGATTTGATGGCGACCGAATTTTCCATTTCGCTAAGGCCCATCGACTCGCGTCGAGTGGGGGTATAAGCCGGATCCGTTTCGATTGAAGCGAATTGTGCACTTCCTTTCTCGAAGATACTCAACGATGCCGTCTCCTGACGTATCTCCCAAGATTGAGGAACGCTCGACTCCTTCTCGAGCCTCGACCGTAAATCCAGGAGACTCGGCTTCTCGTTCGTGCGATTCGAGTCGATTCGGTTCCTTTGCGTAACTGATCCAAGTTCCGCTTTGTGTGTAGAAGTCAACCAAGTCTTTTCCGGAGGAATTTTTGATTTCGAAGAACTCCGCAATATGGACGACACGGACGAAGGTCGACCAGAACCTTGGCCTCGAATATAAGGGGGCTGTCGGTGACCCGATCGGGGTTGGAAGGTAAGCAGATTCGGTTCCGAAAGGCGGTTCCGTTTCGCTGAACTTGTTGGATTCTTCGCAGGTGGTGAACCGGCTCGTCGGGAAGGGCTCTACGGGGAAGCTCGTAGGCCGACTGGGACGCCCGATATCGGGCGAGGACTGTTGCCATGACCGGGCAACCTTTAGACTCGGTCGACGAGGAACCGGTTGCGGGGCCGAGTGCGGGTGAGTAAAGCGAATCTGCTTGGATTCCTGAATCGATAATTCGTACCTGATACTATGTCTATTCTTGCTCGATTGTAGCTGTCGTGTCGCCGCCCAGGACTCCTCGAGGGAGGTCGATTCAGCGGAGTCGACAATGGCCGACACAGCGCGAGGTCGAGTCGAGGGAGAGGAGCCGCATCGGCGGGTGCGAGGGTCGATGTCGAGAACATCGATTTGGGGGGTGCTCTCGTGCGCCAACGGTCGGTCGAGCCCGGAACCCGGTAAGCGTTTTTGTCTGGTTTCTACCGGATCCGGTTCGACGAAGCTAATTTGGATAATCGCGTTCCAGCTCGGCCCATCGACTTCGAGGGCGTACAGCCGACTCGGCGAACGGGTGCAGCGCCTGCCAACTTCTTTGACGACCTGTCGGAGAAGAAGAAGAAGAAGAAGAAGGTGGTGACGTCCGAGGATGAGGATTCGGACTACCGCGACAGCGGTGTACCGGGTGAGTCGCCCGACGCGTCTCCAGGGTCAGCGTACGAACGGCAGATCGAGAGTCGCTATCAAAGAGCGTTCGGGACTCCTGAAGTTGCTGGTTCGTACTCGGTACCCGTCGGTCGAACTCGTTTCGCTGAACCAGATTTGCTTGATTTTAGCCGAAAGCGAGAGGGCCGACTCGATCATCGACATTGGGGATGAGAGCGTGATCAACATCGGCACGGTCGGCACCGAGGGAGACGAGTTGGCGTCGACGCCTGAGCCCGAGTGGTGGGATAGTGAGTAATATTCGTATTGTTTAAGCGAAATCGTTTGCTTCGAGCTAATCCGCTTTGTAGCCCACGCTGGTATCGTCAACGCTACCGACCAAGAGATCATCGATCACGAGGCGAGGCCCGGCGAGCCTCCTTTCTCGACTCGAGTTGGGACGGCCAGCGAGGTGAAGACCAGGAGGACGGTGGTAAGCTCGTTTCGCTTGCGTTTAAGCGGATTCGGCTAAATCTTGTTCGTTTCGGTAGTTGCAATCACGTCGCCTAGCTCGCGCCCAAGCCAAGGAGGGTATCGAGAACGACCCTAAGTGCGAGGACTGCGAGGGCCTCGGGGACGAGGGGTTGAGTTGGGGATGTATCTCCAAAAGGTCTGGGACCTTGAAGGGTTGTGCGGAGTGCACTGGTCGGCGAAACAAGTGTTCGCTTGCCGGACAGCCGATTCCGGAACCTCCCGGCCGAGTCCCCAGCCCCGACACCGCGGCTGCTGCGAATGCAGCACAACCGACTACTCCTCCGGCGACGAGTAGTCTGCTTCCTCGAGCTCGATGGGAAGCGCAGGTAGTGAGTCGAATTTGTTTCAACGAACCGAATCTGTTTTAACGCAACCGAATTTGGCAGCAATCGGCCAGAGACCGTATTCAGATCTACGCCGACCTGCTCGAGGATGAGGGCATCAAAAAGGGTCTCTCGAAGGCCTTGGAAGACCTCGACAAGGTCCGGGAGGCGATCGCGGCGGAAGGTGACGCGGCCTTCAAGAGGGTTATCAACCCGCTGCCGGCGCCCACGCCCAAGAAGAGGAAGACCGGAGTCGTGTCGACTCCGAAGGATTCGAAGAAGTCGGGGGGTAAGTCGACTCCGAAGGGTAAGGGGAAGCAGAAGGAAGCGGATCCGGACGAGGACGAGGAAGAGGAAGAGAATGATGGTCGCCCGCCGAAGCGAGCCAAGAAGGATTGAAGCGGTTCCGCTTCGTCTATAATTTGTTTTTGGGTTTTGTATTTTCTTTCAATCCGAGTCGTTTGATACGATGAATCCTATGCGAGCGAGAAGTCCAAGACGAGATCCAGAAGAGTTCAGAACATATGTTTATCCGTATCTCGGTCCAGCCGGGATCGGTTCAATGAAGCGGATTCGGGAAAGCTACGCTTCCCAACCCGGAGGCTTTGGCTTAGTCGGGAACCGAACGTGGAACTCCTCTTGTGCCTCTGCTGTGTTGTTGAGGTCTTCGAGGGGTACCCAATCTTGTCCTTCAGGTCCCGAATATCCTTTCCATTTGATTAAGTACGCGAATTGGCGTCTCCTGATCCTGCTGTCGATAATCTCTTCGACCTCATACTCGTCATCGTGCGGAGATTCGACAATTGGTCCAGGAGTCTGTACTCGTCCATCAAATGGATTCTCGCAATGTGGTTCCAACATGTCGATGTGGAAGACGTTGTGAACCTTGAGTGTGGCCTGGCAAGCGGATCCGGTACGCATGAGACGAAATCGCTTCAATGATTTCGTAGGGACCGTATCGCTTGTGATCCAGCTTCTTGGTAGGTCGTTTGGTTGCGATGTATTTCGATGAAACATAGACCTTCGATCCTACTGTGAATTCGGGAGGACTTTGGTGTTTCTGGTCGAAGTACTTGGCAGCTCTTTCGTTAGCTGCGGTCATCTGTACTCGCATCTGCTCCCAAACCTCTTTCATATCCCTGGCTTCGATCCTTGCGACGAGGGATTCAGCCCTGTGTTTGTCGAGACTGACGTCGAATCGTGGTTCGTAGCCGAAGGTTGCCATGAAAGGAGAGATACCTGTAGCGCTATGCTTCGCGTTGTTGCAAACGAATTCGGCTAAGGGAAGCAGATTTGCCCAGTTGTCCTGGTGATAA